CTCTCCGATACTTTCCACATAGACAGCAAACTCCTCACCAGGTCTTTGAGCCAGTGAGAGTGTAGGTGCGACTGGACGGATTGTATTTGGCTCTAGTTTCCATGCTGCTGGGGTCACTACCATGGTTTGGCTCCGTCAAGCCGAAACAACCCAGGATCTCTCCACGAGCTTGGATTGACAGAGAAATCAAGGGGGTGATTACAACCCAGGAATAAACCAGGAGCTCAGTGACTCATCAGAAAAGAATAAAAATATCATTACCAGTCTACCATTTCAGTTTTCACTCATCTGTTGTTGACATATCAATAAATAAAAATATTGTTGTTCTCATCTTACCCAGCTTGGGGAGGTACTTCTGTTTCTGCTCCTCTGTGCCATAGGCATTAATGGGGTGCATGACCAGTGACGACTGCACACTCATAACCGAGCGATAGCCGCTGTCCACTCTCTCTACTTCTTTGGCAATCAAACCATAGGCCACATAGCTTGTCCCAGCACAACCATAACCTTTATATCAAATGCAGGAAGAGGAGTTACAGATTTCTCAAAAACAAACAACAAATACAGATGACAAGTGTGCAGATGATGTTGATTTCAGATTTTTCAGATTTCAGATTCAGTGTGCATGGTGCAAGTCAAATCAAGTGGACTTGTTCATCCTGACCTTTAATGGTTGGGCCCAAAACACCCATCTCTCCCATCTCTGACACAATTTCTCTGTGGAACACTGAAAGAAAACGAGGGCAAGTTACAGGAGCTGCACTTCTTTAATTCAGCAAACAGCATGTTCACATTAATTACATATCAGGATCTCATTAAGAAACTTTGATTAGACTAAACCATCAGACTTACAGACATTATGCAAGAACAAAAACACCTTCTCACCTTCATTTCTGTTTGCCATCACGATGCGAGGCATGAGTTTCTCTTGGCAGTATGTCCGGAAGGAGTCCCTGATCATGATCTCCTCCTCTGTCAGCAGTCCCTCCAGCTCCAGGGCATCACGCCAGTTGAACTGGACCTTAGCTGCCAGACATTTAGAATCAGAACAATTATAACCTTTACAGTCAGAGTTCAAAATAAGTTCTGGAAAGAGCTTCAATTTCAAATTATCGAGGACTGACAATTTTAGCAACACCTACGTGCTTTAGACTTCTGTTCAACCTTTTCTGCATCTGTGAAAATACAAACCAGTAAAATTATAAATATTATTCAAGAAATGTAAGGATATAATCTGCCATCATTTTTATGTAATAAAAGTGATAAAAATATATGTAATTAAAAAAATACAAGTAGCAGATAAAACACGGTTTAAAACTACATTTTTAAGGGAAATACAAATGTTATTTTGAGTTAGAGTACTGTGTAAGTCTAAGGTACATTTAATTACACTTCCTTAATATTTATAAATAATTATACACTATTTTTGTGCTGTTTTAAACAAGGCCTTATAATAAATTCTACCATATTTCTCCCTGTGGATTTCAAGTGAATCTTCATGCGATAACGATAAAAAATAAAAGTAATGAAGGTTAATTTCATCATCACCATTTACATTTGCAGACATCAGCTATAACCCAGCATCTCTACAATGTGGTTTTACATTTGGTTTGTGGGACTTAATGCATTAAAACATACATTTGAAAGTCTCTTCCCAAATATATGCAAGTACTGTCACATCTGCACACAGCTATGAGTAACCTCTTCATTATTATATGATGTTTTTGGGATGTTGTGACCACCAAACACCAATGCTAATAATTCCTTTGGGCTGGTATGGTGTCATTGTACTTACCCCATCTGGCAGGTGCTGCAGTTCCCTGTGCTCTGGAAGCTGAGATGATGGCACATCTCTGAGGGTTGACCAAGAGACGGCAGACTGCGCTTCTCAATGCCATGGTTGAAATTAGTCTATAAAATAAAGAGACCATAACTGACTAAACTGGTGTATTACAAGATATAAAAACAGCCATCCAGGTAGTAGTTTGCAGTGGAAGTCATGACAATAACGTTCAACTGGTGGTCCATAGTGGAAGGTGTTCCATTGATCTTGAATTGGTTTCTGGCCCCATGACCAATAGACTTTCAGTGACTTTACAATGTAGGAATGTAGGGCTTGAAAGAAAGTGAATACTGACTGTAGTAGCTAGTAGTAGTAACTGCTGCTGAGTCAGTTTCATTCTCAGTTACCCATGTCAAAGTCTTCACTGTAATATCTAATGAAACAACCTGTCACAGCAAACAGATGTTAGTCCACACAGCCAACCAGGTTTGGTATGTAGCCAAGCTAGGCTATCTCAGCCAACCTGTGCTGCGTTAAGTAACTTCACTGTAGCTACAAGCTAATAGCGCTAGTCCATGATAGTTAGCAAGTAACTTGGGTGTTAATAACATAATTTCTGAATAATTATAATAGAAATATATTATATGAGCACTGTGTATTGTGAGTAGCTATTGAAACCATAGTGGCAAGTGTATAAGGAGAATTTACCTCTGTTGACTGGGACAACAACCCTTGTCCTGGTTTCCCTTTTCTGCCTCTGGCCGACAGTGCAGCGAAACTCAACGTCAAAACACAACCTAACGTCATCACGTAAAGCACTCCTAGCTGCATGCAGCACGGCCATGTTGAGTGTGGCGTCATCATTAAACTACTTTCCAGTGGTTAAATGGTGGTCAGCTATTCTTGTAACAAATGAAACATTTCGTTTATGTGAAGACAGAACATGTCAAATCTGAGACTACGACATAAAAATATGGATGAACTCTTTGTATGTGGCCAGTTTTCATCACTGAAGATGGCTGCCTTTTAAGGATACTTCAGCTACTAGGGATGGAACATGATTGGCTCGTTAGCAGGGGAGTGAATGATGGAGGCGTGGCCACGTCCAAGCTTGAGTTTCCAGAATAAAGTCACCCCAGCAAGAAAAAATTAAAAAATAAATGAATCAAAAAATTAAAAAATAAAGTCACTCCAGCTCCAAGGAAGATGACAGTGCTAACTTCCTACTAGGTCATTCCCTTAAGTCCAGATCGTAACACTAAGCACTCCAATTGTTCTCATATTTGCACTCCTGACTGCAGGATGATGAGACTCAACAGAGCTACGCAAGGACATGTCGTATAATTTTTTTTTTAAGTTGATTTATCCTCTGTATAGTGTTTGGAGGAGGCTAAACAGATTTTATTTCAGTCGTACAGTCTATGACCTCAACCAGTTGAGAGTCGAGAGCCAGAAACACAGACAGTTCGTCTTCAAAGTAAAGGTTGCGCGTTTTCAACAAACGTACTAAGCTAAATAACTAAACAAACTGTCTAAATAATGGACATAATTCATAACGGTTATGGGTTATCGGGAATCAATTTCATGTATGTAGCTATTCATCAAGGTGATTAAGGTTACTTAATCTGTTGGGTGAACATTTAAGGCTATATATAGATAGATATATATAGAGAGATATATACACTATATTGCTGTGTGCAGGTTACCAGAAAAAGACTCTTCACCTAACTTTGATGTGAGACAAAAAACCTTTCTTTCATAAGTAGTTCAGGAGCCTTATATTTTTGGAGGCTCCAGTGGGGTGGAATCTGCAGGGGCATAAGGTTTTCCATTACTTCTATTGACCTCGTTTCTTAACTTTTAATCCACTCTCCCTTTTAAAAACTGAGTCTGGGTTCAAGGTGCATCTCTGCTCTTAACTAAATCTATGTTGTTTGCACAGTCCATGCATATATAACTTATCAAACTGTTTTATATTACCAGGAGTACATTGTTTCCCTACAAGTGGCAGTCATTGTTAAAACTATCTATCTGTCAGACATTGGAGTGTTTTGTAAACATGAGAATAGTCATATTTTAAGCAATTTGTGTTGTGCATCTTTAAATTGACTTAAAAATAGTCTGTTTATTACATTTATTACAACTGTTGCAGTGGCTACCACCAGTCATCTTGGCTTATTGAAAGGTAAGACTGTAGAAATTACAAATACATTAGGTTTATTACACTGAAAGTACTTGGCTGTGTGGAGGAAACCAATGTTAACATGTTGACAGTGAAAATATGAGACTGAATTACCTGCTAACAGCCTGCTCACAATGCAATAAGGGATAGGCTATTAATGCTGTTGATATTATGGGTAGCCTATTCAGAAACGACCCCCCTGTCTTACCATGTATGTGGGCTATTATACTTACTATAACAATTCCCATATAATACTTAGTACTTATACTATCAATACTAACTATTATACCATTGCCACAAAATGACTACATAATCAATGGGCTACTTGACTGTTATTTCTTGGTAATTTCTTCACATTACTACATAATTACTACTAATTACTACACATTTAACGTAATTAACGGCCTGTAATTTAAAGGGTTACCAATTGTTTAACTTTACATTTTCATATAATACTGTATTTTTACCTGAGTTCAATTATGAACACAGGGTTTTTACTTTAATGGGGCATAGGTATTTTTACTTGAGCTAAATTAGATGTTACACCTCCTCTGCAGCCCACTAGCAGCTGTCGTGACTCACAGAGTGCAGAGTCAGATCAGGCAATGTTTGGTCTCTAAGTTGAATTATGAATGAATAAGATTGCGTTCATAATTAATGTTGTCTTGCATTTCATCAGGGCGATAAAAGATATGCCATGCCTTTGCTTTGCAGCACTCTTGGTTGATGAAGACACATTTTTTTTTTTTACCGCAAATGACTAATGATGAACAAACACAAATGATCTAGACCGCGTTATTTTTAATTAATTACTGAGACTGATTGTATTTGGTCCATTGTCATGAGCGGGATATAACTGTTAGATGGAGAGTAACGCTGTCAGTTAACTGTACTAGAAACGAATCCAGTCTCCTTGACTATAAACTCCCGCCTTCTTTCACTGATTGGTTGAGGGACTTGTCAATCACGGCGTCCTGCGTTTTAATTGGCCCGCTCTCCGTTCTAAGGAGTCTCCCTTTAAATGTTAGCTGGGCAGTCAAGATTTTTGGAGGGGACTTGTACGAAGTGTTCAAACTGACAGAATCTCCGCACGATAACCTGAAGCCAAGGCTGAAAATATGCTGTAGTCGTCGCCTGTGAGCAGCTCTGGTCCACATCAAACACCCCGTAATCATGGAGCTGGAGGAGAAACCGAAATATGGTAATTATTTAAAGCCCAAACGGGCCTGCTTCACTTTATTTGTCCCGGGATAGCAAGCGTTACCACTCAAGTTACCGTTAGCTAGTTTTGTTTAAGTGCCAAACGAAAACGTTACTCCAACTGATAGCATAGATAGTTCTGGTATGTGTCGTTGATGACTTAAATACCTCTTTTTTTTCGGTCTTTATTGTCTTACATTAGCTGGTACTGCTGAACCACTTTCCCTCTTACCTGTACTTATGAGTTTAATTATTAACCATGTACTTAAAATAGCGAGTTTACTTCTTCATCTGCAGTTATAGCGAATAAATGTGAAGGATTTTTTTTTTTTGCTGTTGGTTTGTGTCATGTTTTGAAAAAGCAGGGTGCATGTAAGTAAAGCTGGTGGTCCACATTGCCTCGTATATTGTCGGTGTGTATAATGTCCCTGTTTGTCTCCTGCTTGTCCAGTTGCTGCCACATTCCTCAGACTGGTATGGCAGACAACAGGCTATGTATAGAGCTTAGTTTATTAGAAAATACCTCAAACAAGTGAAGAGGGTCTGTACTTGGTAGTGTCATATTAGACATGTGCTCAGTTTCATACAGTGTACATCTCAGTATACTGTATTTGTATTTTACAATACATTATCTCTGGTTGCTTTGCTTGTTCCTTGTTTGTGGTTGTCATATATTGTTGAATAGTGGCACACCCTGTTGTATGCAGTTTGAGACATACTGCTCTTTCTGAATCAGGCTTTTTACGTAGGAAGTGCAATAAATGATTCACACAAAAGACAGAGCATGTTTAGGGAGGATGTTTACTCCTGAAAGGCCTTGTTTTGAGTCAATAACATCATCTTTTAAATGTTAAATGGAGATTTTTGTAGCAATGTGTTGAGCATATTAAGCTTTTGTAGGATGTTGACATTAGCTATACTGCTTATCCTTGCAAGGGGGGCTGGAGTCTATCCCAGCTGACAATGGGCAAGAGGTGTGGTACACCCTGGACGGGTTGCCAGTCTATCACAGGTCTCTAGGATGTTTTTGCACAAGTAGAAATGAAAAACAATATAAGGCGCTTCGTCTGTCTGCTGGTTTTTATGATGGGTCTTTAACATAGTGTTTTTGTCTTCTTGTCTGCACACACCCTTTTCCACTCAGCCTGCCACATGATGGCTAATTGACTCCCATTACCAACCCTTCACGAAAGGGAGCTTCAGTGTGTGTCTGCTTGTTTGTAATCACCAAAATGCCTAGAGGATTCAGACAGTTTGACACAGAGTGAGACGGCAAATAGGTAGAAAGAGAGGAGAAAGATAATTGCCTTAAACCCATGGCAGATGATGGTGGTGAATGGCCGCAAATTCACTTAAGAAATCACAGTGGTATGAGGTAAGAGGCTCTGGAAACAGCCAGTGCAACGTGCACATTAATATATCTCAGTGCATGTTGAGACTAGACTGACGAAATCAAAAAAAGGAGACAAGGACAAAAGTCTTATTATGCCATAGGGAGAGCATTTCAGAGTAAAGTATAGGATCGGCCACAGTTTCACATGTTGGAGTAATTTCAGGCTGAGCTATATGAAGAGACCTCAATGACAGGATCTGCAGCAGCCATGCAGCCATGCCCTGGTGGAGATTAGGTGTAATTATAAGCCAAATTTAGGAGTTTGGTTTGAAACCCGATACCGAGCCTCTCTGACTGTTCCTTCATGTTTGTTAAAGCTTGTTTCAGTCACATTTTCAGATTTACTTTTGGCCTGTTTTATTTGTTTACAGTTCAGTGACTGTACTGTTTGGTTTTTCCTTCTGCGCTACTAATACTCCGTCATTACATCCACCCGTTTCTACTTAAATGTGCTTGATCATACCCTGACAACCCAAGCAGGATCATGTGACTCTGCTAACTGTCGAGTGGTCCTGCCAACTTGCCTACAGTCTGAAATACAAAGGCGTGTTCAGAGCAGTGCAAGACTGATTGGTTATTAAGGTCAGGGAAAATGAGTTTGGGCAGAGGAAGTGATATAAATGCAGAGTAATTTGAATGTGGAAGCAGTACCAGACACTGTCCTCCACTAGTCAGTAGATGGGTTTGTTGATCTTGGCTGACCTCACTGACGCTTTGGTGTTGAGGAACATTTCTGTAATGTTTACAGGAACAGCTCATTATTTTACTATCATTTTCCTTAATGTTCCTTAAAATGCCATTTTTGGAACATTCGACATTGTGGTCATTTATGTCTGTGTACGGAGGTCGTATAAACATACCAGAATATTTAATCTAGCCTAAAAAATCTCACTGTGCTTGCGTCTTGTTTGCCATTGTTGGTGAATAGTCTTTATTAATTCTAATTATAGTTTGAATTTGATCTTGGTTTCACTTTGTATCATCTGTATCTGAGCTACAGGAATAAACAGGCTGGAACGCAGAGATAAGGAGATGAGGAGATAAGGAGATGATGGTATGAGGTCGTCAGCGGTGGAAGCAGAAATTTCACTGTTGCGAGGTCGCTAGTTTATCAAGAGATCACACATTTAAAAGGTTAAATTTGTGAGAGGATTATGTTGGAGAGGCAGTTAGCGATCAAGTTTAGATAAAGTTCCTTTTCCCTGGATAAAATGTGGTTCAATATTCCTGCTGTTGTGTAAAATTATTGCATGTACGAAATCTTTGGAAACTAGGCTTTGAAAACCTTGACTGTCAGATATTACGGGACAGATGTCCCAAGTCTTGAACACAAATTTTCCAATTGATTCAACATTTGCTGTGGACATAACTGGTCTATATTCTCTCAGGCTTCCTTTTGTAACACCAGAAATAGATGTGAACTTGGCCTTTAACACTCCACAACCTCTTACCATAATGAAAGACATGGGGGGACAGCAGCGGGGGGGGGGGGGGGGGGGGGGTGGCAGCAGCTGCAACTTCTAGATTATATTAAAGAGGCTATGATATCACAGTCTCCTTAGATATAGTCTTGTTTTCCTAGAAGTTTTGGATTTTTTTATTTACTATACTAAACTTTCTTACTTTAGCTTTTTTGTGTGCTTATCAGGAACTGCAATAATAAACTTTAGGGTCATGCTATTTCATAACAGGATGTCAAAACCGCAAATAGCAAGAGATTTTAAGAGGGCCATCAATTCATTGTTGAAAAACAAATGAATTTGAAAGGCTGCTACAGTACATGACAGTAACAGCTGGTTGGCAGCTGGTTGGCAGAAGCAGCTAAGCTAAGCCAGTCAAAGTGCTTCACACCCTGCCCAGTTCGTCAAGACCAGAAATGTGGTGTGAAACTCACAGTTAATGTTTTTCACAGTAGATGTTGTTTTGACCTGTCAAACATTGGTGTCACAAATTAATTCCTGACTGCTATGACAAGTCAAAAATATCTGCTGATGAAAAAGCTCTTTAAAATAAAATGTTATTTCAATATAATTCCAATTCCTATTCCTCTACTTTTGTTACAAGCATCCGGTACTGTGGCCAGTATGTGTCTAAGGGCGTTGTTAAAAATATTCTAGCTTCTGAAGGAGGGGGTTGACTGAAAAAGTCTGGGAGCTACTGGGCTGGATAGTAAACATTTGTGCTGTTAGATTTAAAAACAGTCCTTTTCACAGCAGATATCTTGACTTGTCACAGATAAACAAGCACTTATGGGACTAATAACATTAACAATAGCTCCGCTCTATTCAAGAATCTCAGTAAGCCATGACAGTGTGACGGTGAGCCAGCATGAACAATACCAGGATCCTGAAATGGAAGCAGCTAATTGGAATTCAGCCATCATTTCAGCATTTTATTATTTGCACCTGTACTTTTCCTACTGTGACATGCCAAAAGGTCTTCTATGAAAAAAGGTCAGCAAGGTTAATTTTAGTTTAGAGATGGGAAGGGCGGTGGTTAAAAAAAAACAAGGTAGAATAACTCAGGAATGTCTGGACACAAAAGACAAAAGATGTCTAATGTTCATATTGTCCATGAGGAAAAAACACGATGCAAGACATTAAGCTTTTTCTCACTTTTACTTTTGACTTTGTTTTTCTGTAAACAGAAAGTTTTAAGACATGAACTGATGATAATACTCAGGTATTATTTGACTGTTTCTGTTTCAAGTTACCACCTCTACCTTTCTTACAGTTGTTTATTAAATGACAACACAGTAAATACACAGAAGCACAACAGGGATGCAGATGTCTGTAACGGGTGCCCACGTAAACTCTCATTAGAAAAATAGCATGGCATTTCATAATTAAATCAAAGCGCTTACACATGTAGCAAATGTCGTTTGTATTGCTAATGGTTTCAGTGAATGCTCAGTGGCTGACTTGTTGCACTTTGGCGGTTCATTGGAATTAGATTAGATCACATGGAGGGCTTTTAACAGATTAAAACTGTTGCTTACTGCCACAGAGGATAAAGAATTATTTAATTACTCATTTAGCCTGTTTAAAAACTAGAGCTGTGCGTTTTACTTCACCTTGCACTACTGTTGTCACCAGCTGTTCTACCAGTTCAAGAAAATCTAATTACAGGTTAGACAAACAAGTAAGAAATATTATAGTCATGTGTTTTCTGTTGTGTGTCATGTCACTGTCATCCAATGAATCAAATTCCCCAGAAACCTCCAGCCTCAGTTTCACTGTGTCACTTGGTGAAAAAGTTTAGTTTCAGAAAAATTCACAGCCACTCCAGAGCTCGTAATGGGAATCCCTGTTTGCAGTAACATTGGCCATGGGACAAGAATAAAATGAATGGAAATGTTCAGTCATTCCAGATGAATTTTCTGTCTCTGTCAGCATCTGTAAAACACATTTTTGGCATTTAGTCCTTCAGTGGACTCTTTGTTGAAACTGAACATAGTCTGATTGCCTATGGCTGTTGAGGACAGAACAGCGTGTGATGGAAAAATGGGAGCTAGAAAGATTTTTGTTTTATCGTTTTCTGTCTCAGTGCAATGCTGCCTTGTCCCCACAAGATGGGAGAAAACACTCTTTGGAGGAGATTTGACTGGATCCGATTTGAGCTGCTCCACCAGGCAGTTTAATTTTATACAAAATCATGAAATGCTTGATTTTTTTTTTAGCTCAGTATTGTGAGCTTTCACTTCATGCAGGTATGGTATGGCATGGTATTTGTAGCCATAAATATCCTGCACACCTGAATCTAATCATCGCTCCTCCACAGCAGTGACACAAAACACCACAGGAGGCAGAATTCCTCCTTGTTTTCTCCAAACACATGTTTTTGATAACATCTACACAGCTTTTCCTCCTCATCCTCAACAGCAGGCCCCACCCTCTCTTTCCGATGTCCACACCGCTTCTCTTTAACTCCTTGTAGATGAGTTCCCTCGCCTGTTTGGATAGATGGCTGTTTTGAGACAGAAGCAAAGTGGAAACCCAGACAGAAAGAGGTCTTTTGGAAGTGGGAGGGCATAGAGGGGATAGATGCACAGGTGGAGCACAGATTGGAAAAGAGGCAGTTGTTTCAGGATAAAGACAGAAGGGGGGGAAGTCTGAGGTAAGGTGGAGCGTTGCTGTGCTGCCCTAGTGCTCACAGCTATTATTCAGGGACAGGTTGGACTGGTTTTTCCTCCACAATACCTGTGTCTCCACCGCTCTTGCTCATTTAAACCAGGAGAGAGAGGGAGGAAGCAGTGACTAGATAAAGAGGCTGTGGAAAAGGTAAAAGGGTTCTCTGTACTCTTCAACATTTGACCCAGAGAGGAATTTCAAGATGGCTGAGGATGCAGAATATTATGGAAAGCATGGTAACTGCTCTTTTTGCTTTAGTTTCACATTTATTTATTTTTTCATTCTGTGTTCATCCAAGAAATTTCAAATGACTGGAGGATTGCTCTTGGTTAATCTTAATTGTCTTATTTTTGCTGCTTAAAAAAAGAATCCGTGTCATGAAGTGAGTAAATAGTTTTGAGTGAAACTGGATCAGCAGTATCAGCATGTCAGCACTGTGAGGAGTGAAAGGGTGTGTGTGTGTTTGTGTGGAACCTGCTGTTGCTGGTAGCTCTAATTGTACAGGTGTGTGAGAGCGGGGAGCTTTTTTTTTTATCAGTGTTTTCCTTGTACAAATGTTACTGCGCTGTGTGTAGATAAATCACCTGGCAAGCAAGTTAATTCTTCTAAAACTGAATAAATCATCCATTAAGCCCATCACAAGTTGCTACAGCTACACTGAAGTGAACTTCACTTTGTTGAGTCTTGTCAAAAATAGCACCTCAGCCTGACAATACACGACATTACACTATATATTTGAAATACAACGCCCATGCTCTTTCTAACAGGAAGCTGTGACCTCTCTCAGAGCTCCTCTGGTAAATGCCTGCTGCAGCATTATCCCCCCCTGACCACATACATAATTAATATGCAAAGACGCCACAGAGAATATCGTGCTCCTGTCTAGACTCGGAGGTGTCAGGATCCAGTGCTAAATGGTACACATGCACATGTACACCCTTTGGTAGTAGTGTGAAGACTAATGTTAATGATTTGAGAGATTTAAAGCCCCAACAGGGCAGCCATGCTGTCAAAATATTGGTTATGTTGAATATAAAAACATTATTATTGTGGTGGATGTGCAGCCGATCAATCCTTGACTCTTGATCAGGGTTTTTTTTTTTGTTTGCTCTGTAACTATAATGTGGCGCATTGTGTTTAGAGCTGCGAGATGAATTTGCTTAGATAACAAGCGCTCGGCCTCCTGCTTCTGATATACTGACCTCAGATAACCTGCAGCAAACTTAACTGTACACCTGAGCCTGCAGTAATGATCAGGACTCACAGAACTTCAGCTTAAAGATCAGACACTTGTGAGTCCTGAAAGTACCACCTTGTAGCAATGCAGCCAATAAATATGATGGGAATTATTAAATAATTGCCTTTTTCTTTTTTTTTTTTGATAATCTGTATGAATTTGGAAGAAATCTTATCAAAACCAAAATGACACATGTTCATTTTCAGTGACTGTTTTTGGCCTAAAATTCGCATTTTATCTGACAAACTGCATAATTCTACATTTCTTGGGTTTGGCATAAATCGGCATCAACAAGATGTTATTAGATTTTCAAATTAAATCTACTACTATAAAGGATTTACATCCCCTCTGGTGGCTGTGCAAGTTAAGCTGGCTTCGTCTTTCAAAAGGGTTTTCTTTTCTTAGTCACCAGGGAGGAATTTGTCAGGATGCCAGGCGTGTCTGTTTAGAGGGAAAAGTCATCTGACAGAAGAATGGGAGGAAAAGGGAGGGGGGGTGTATCATTTCTGAGCCTTAAATCCACCCCCCTTTTAAAAACTAATTCTTGATTCAAGGTGCACCTTTTGTTTTTAAAATATTATGTTTTGTCTACAGTTCATAGGACGTCTCACCAAGCCGTGTTTTCAGTAGCCATAATGCTAAGAGCTCACTGAGTGATAAATGCACTTGTTTCTTTGATGTAGGCGAGCCAAGGAAGTATGACCCCACCTTCAAGGGCCCAATCCAGAACAGGTGAGATAGAGATGTGATTTTTTTATTTATTTATTTATTTATTTTTAACCCTGGCTTTTACAGTGTGTAAACAACTACAAATAGTTTCTTTCAACCCTCCAACTCTGCTCTCTCCATTCTAGGGGTTGCACAGACATCGTGTGCTGCATCCTCTTCGGTCTTGCCATAATGGGTTATATTGCAGTGGGAGTACTCGGTAAGGAAACAGCACTGCTGTTTGCTTTACCTATAAAACCTCAAACTAAAACCTATTTAAAAAAAACAAAAAACAAAAAAACAACCTTAACCCTCTTTTTTTCTTCTCCCAGCCTGGTCTCAGGGTGACCCCAGAAAGGTGATCTATCCCACAGACAGTCGAGGCCAGTTCTGTGGGCAGGCGGGCACCCCACTTGAGTGAGTTGTTTTCCAAGTATAGATTTACTTATTTCTGTTGCTCTGCTGGACATTTTCTTTTTACTTTGAGAGTGCACATACACGCACAGTTACAGTTTGAGTCCAGTTCACCGGGTTTTATTCACCTAATGTTTTCAGCCATCTTGCCTTCATCAGGGCAGATGCAAAGATAAAAGAAGAAAGAAAACAATATTATCATCATCTTTTTACCTAAAAATGACTATTCAAAAAATACCATTACTCTTAGTTCCAAATACAAAAAGCCAAAGAGAAAATCTTCTTACCATAAAAACGAAACATATATATTTTTTTTTTACAACCATCTGTTCTGAATATTCACTATCTAATACAGGTTGAATGTCCAGACTCTGTTCTCCTTTATCTCTTAATATTTATAGATAACACAAACTTATTTCGATATCAGTCTGTGGTTGACCTCAACTTCCAACTGTTTTTTAAAAAATAAAAAATGCTGTTCTCTGAGATCAAATATAATCCAACAAAACTCTGCAAAAATGAAAATCTAATTCCTTATTCAACCTTCTTAGAGTGCCCAGTTTAGAAATCCAGATTACTCTAAATTGATATGTTAACAGGTATTTCATGAAACCACTCCGCTCACTTTTTACTATTTTTATAAGAGGAAAAAGGTACAAGTGGGTGCATGGCTGAAGCATTTTGCACTGATACTGATCGATGGGCTGTATATACGGAAACCAGAAATGGCCACAAGCGTCACCCTGATGAAGGCAAAGTAAAGCATGGTGCACTGGAGAATGACATTTCCTCATTTTGATGAGTCTGTTAATCATTGAAATACACAGACACTGCTCATGTACTTTTTCTGTATGTCCCCCCCCCCCCCTGACTGTTTTGTATGTTTGTGTTTTTAACAGGAAGAAGCCACTGTTGTTCTACTTCAACATCATGAAGTGTGCCAGCCCCATGGTGCTGCTGGAGTTCCAGTGTCCGACCACACAGGTGTCAACTCCACCCATCTGTCCTCATGCATTCTTTTCTGCTGATGCAAAACTATCCCAGTATACCAGTATATAAGTGGCACGCAAACAGACATCAATCATCATTTTTGTGACCACCACCCACAACTGTGAATGGCTCCATTTCCTGTGCACATTGCACAGTGGGGAAATAGTGTCCAGTAGCAGGGTATACTTTCTCCAGTTTGAATACACTACATGCTCATTCTGTTGTATGAAACTGGGACACGGCTCCTGCTTTTGTTTTCTTCCTCTGTCACCCTGACCAATTTGTTGGCATTGGCATCCGTTCTCTTTGCTGTGCTGCATTTTTTTTTTTATTTATCTAAAATTAGGACCACCGAGTTCTTTTCCTGCACTTGATGTAACTGTATCCTTCCTGTTTAGATGTGTGTGGAGAAGTGCCCAGAAAAGTTCATGACGTTGGTCAAAGCCTACACCAACAAAAAAGACTTTGACTACTACAAGAACTTCTGCAAGGAAGGTGTGACAAACACAATGGTGAGTTTAAAGCCATGTGGTTGAGACGCCTGCTTGGATGCTTCTCTCCAGTGTCACTGTGAATTATCTCGATTATTTTGATTGTCCAAAGCTTCTCACTCACCTTATCTGTTTTGGATGTACTGTGTTTCAGGGTATACCAGAAATCCTCAGGTTAGGCCTCTGTCCTTCCATGCTGATGCCCAGCAAGCCCTGTGAGTCGGATCTCCCTAAATAGATCATCCAAAACACACTGTTAATACAATATATATCACATTTTGTATACATCCAGAGCACCAGTGCAGGTCTGGAAAGTGCTGGCTTATTAAAAAAAAAAAAAAAATCAACCGGTGTCTTTTTAAATTGTTGGGATTTTCTTCTCCAGTCACACGCAGGTGTTTCCCAGCTCTGGGCCAGAAAGGAGGTGTGATAACTGTGGGAAACATCTCTCGCTTTGATGATGGAAGTGGAAACATGAGAGACGCCAAGGATCTCATGGATGGAGTCAAGTGAGTACATCACTGGAGTCATTGTGACAAGAATACTCTTGAGCTTGAAATGAGCTTTGGCCTGTCCCAACCTGCCACATTAGATTTTACACACATTGCCTATGAGGAACTCCGCGGCGCTAAGACAGATAAACTCACAGAAATCTCTCCACAGGAATGCCACTGTGGTTATTGAGGCTCGTCAGGTGGTCATGAAAATCTTTGAGGATTACACACAGTCCTGGTACTGGATTCTCATGTAAGACACTGACATTTGTAAATCTGCTTCTTGTTCACTTTAATCCGGTTTGTGCATGCGGGATGAACATCAGCTGGTTTCACAGCTCACGCTCTCTCTCTGTGCTCTCCCTGCAGAGGGTTGGTTATTGCCATGCTCACCAGCCTGCTCTTCATCATCCTCCTACGCTTCCTGGCAGGGATCATGGTCTGGATCATGATTGTCCTGGTGATACTGGTCATAGGATACGGTAAGGACAAAAGCACCCAAGACTCCATCATTGTCTTTGTCATTCTCACCTCAAAATAGTTGAGCTCCAGGTTTAACAAACTTTGAACCCTGAGTTGACCGACCCTTGACCCTGCGGTTTCTGTTCCAGAAAAGGTGATCACAGTTAGTTAAATAAAATCTGAGTATGTTCACTCTGATGTTATTCCCCAGTGCCATATTACATACTAATTCTGTACTATAGTACTGTAGACTAATCTTTTATAGGGATGTCCCCATTGCTTAGGGGTTAAGATGCCAATCATGAACGGAAGAGTCACTGTCTTGAATCCTTCACTTCATGTTGTCTTTCCTCTGTCACTGTTGATTTCACTCGACTTAATTAGCTGCCAAAACAAGTAGTACAGTTGATTGATATCAACATGCTGATTGAATACTTGCACCACCTGACTAAACGTGAGATGCAACTTTATAATGCCACTGCTAAATAAACTACAAAGACACAGTGGAATGTTTTTATGTTTTCTGAGATTTTACTTGAGCTTTTTTTTTTTTTTTTACTGCCAGTCACAATTAATTTACATTTTTCCAGCTCATCCATTTCTTTGTGTGATGGAGAGTCGTGTGCATCAACAGCACATTCAAAAAAATCTACTGTTTTGACTTTTATTTTGTCATTTCAAGAGTGAACACACTACATACTTAAAACATGCTTAGTTTGCAGAGTATGAATTTAGGACACAGCTTGAGTTAAGTCTGTGCATGGTGAAAGAAAAGAGCCATCATCACTGCAGCTCAGATACTATGATTCGTCATGGTAACTGCTAAGTAAAAGATGGATCCTCCATTATAATAGAGATATTAATATGTGTATATGTGGACTATTTGCATCTGTTTATTAAAATAAAAACACGGCAGCAGCGGCTAAAGAACCTGTTTTAGGAGTGAAGGAACTTTTTCCATAACAGATGATAAAGTGGTGGAATCTCCCAGTAAATAATACAAACAAGCAGATACAAAAATATAGATGAAACTGATGGAAAATGTTGGGTTAAAACTGTTTAGTAAAAGTTTTTTAAAGCATCTACTTTAACTTATCAATCTTGGTTTAAGTGCATTTAATTAGTATACTTTGAATGTTATAACTATGTGTTCTCTATATTCATAAAAACCTTCTCAGCTTAATTTAGTCCAGTTTTAAAATCCTACTCTTCATATGCACTAATCCCACTCACTCTATATTCACATATAATATAGATTTCCACATTTGGTTTCTGCTTTGTTGCACGCTGATTCAGTTCTCTCTTACCAGTGCCATATTTCAAAATTTAAGGTTCTCTTTTGTGATGTGTCAGGTATCTTCCACTGCTACATGGAGTATGCTTCGCTGAAGGGAGAGCCAGGAGCTAACGTGACTCTACAGGATCTGGGCTTCCAGACAGACTTCTCGGTCTACCTGCAGATTCGACAGACGTGGCTGGCCTTCAGTCAGTACACAGCTCATCATCATGCATGTTTATAGACTGTGACATGTTGCTGTAAAACGAGGACACCCATACTATCTCTCCCTCTGCCACCACTTCTCCTGTAGTGATCATCCTGGCCATCGTGGAAGTCGTCATCATCCTACTGCTCATCTTCCTCAGGAAAAGGATTCTGATCGCCGTCGCTCTCATCAAAGAAGCCAGCAGGTCAGACTTGGCATTAGAGCTGCAGACACTTTTAGAGGAGAGGATGGGAAGAGTGCAAAAACAGATCAATGAAAGCTGAGATGTTGAATTGTTCTGACTCTTAAATTGTTTTTAGTGTGACTCACAGTAATGGATTAAAGTGTCAGAGTAATGGCACAGGCACGGATGAAGTCATCAAAATATAACTCAAAGTGAAGATTGTTTTTTCTCTTTTTGGCTTGGATGTGTGTAACCACCAGTGATGCTGTTCTTGTGTTTGCAGAGCCATTGGACACGTGATGTGTTCCCTTTTCTTCCCACTGTTCACCTTCATCCTCCTGGCCATAGTTATTGCCTACTGGGCAGTTACTGCTGTGTATCCTTTCAAGTTACAGTCACTCAGTGTTATTACTAAAGGTGGAATGTAGTCAGAAACCCAGCAACCACAGGTACAGAAATCTAATACTCGGAAACAGTTGTGGAACTTCCTTTTTAAAATCCTTTATTTATACAGGTGTTCTCATTGAGATCGGAATCTCTTATTTCTGAGCAGGTCAGAAAATGGATCACCAGAATCTATTTTCTTCTAAGTCTGATCTAAACAGTTTTCTCTCCTGTGTTAATGACTGAAGAAGGACAGGTAAAAAAAAGTTCTGCCAGGATAATCTCTCTAAAAGTTTTTTTAAATTTGTGAAACAGATGGAATTTTTTTCTTACAAGAATAATTTTTCAACTATGAAAATTGGTAAAATTTCAGCCTCTTCTGGCCGAAATGAGTATTACAACAACAAACAGACCTGACAAAAAAATCACCTGCCTGTTTTCACAGATGGAAAAAAGTCACTTTGAAAAAATTATCCTCATCTTTTTTTTCACCTGGCAAAACATTTATTTATTTTTAATTTTTTTTCCAGATCTTCTTAAGTCATAAACACAGGAGAAAACAGGGGAGATATTTTCCTCGCTTGCCTCTCAGGGCCTCTGTAATTTTTCTATTGGTTGTTTAAAAAACTAAACTAAAATAACAGCTTGAATTTTGATATGAGACATTTTGTGACACAATAATAATAATAATAACAGAAGTATTTGGCAGCTCTGTACATTTTTAATTACTCAAACAAGTGACCTTCCAGTTCATTGTGAAGTCGAGGTCAGACAGCAGAGGATGACATAATGTAAGTCTCTTTGGTGAAAAGCATCTGAAAACGTGAATGTAATGTGATGGTAGTTTATAGGATGTTGATTGAGGTGCTAATGATTATAATCCTTGACAGAGCTGATCAGTTTCTTGTCTACCTCGAATGAGCCCATCTACAAAGTTTTCAATGAGTCGATATGTGAACACTCGAGGAAAGTGTGTGACCCAGCTGTAAGTTTTCTCGTTTCACCGGTTAATGTTGGAACATCCAGGCAGCTTCTTCTTTTTTTTTTTTCTTTCTACATATTACTGACTCATCTGTTAAAATGCATGTTTACACCATCACATCTTCTGGATTTCTCTCCATGTCATCCGAATCTGTGCTCAGAACTTCTCGAGCAGTCCAATGCAAACGCAGTGCCCCGACTCCCAGTGCCTTTTTGCCTTCTACGGAGGAGAGACAGTTTACCACAAATACCTGATCGGCCTGCAGTTCTACAACGTCTTCCTCTTCTTCTGGTGTGCCAACTTTGTCATCGGTCTGGGACAGATGACTCTGGCCGGGGCCTTTGCTTCTTACTACTGGGCCTTTGTCAAGCCAGATGACATGCCTGCCTTCCCAGTGTTTTCTTCCCTCGGGAGATCTCTCAGGTGTGTGTGTGTGTGTGTGTGTGTGTGTGGGGGTATATTTCACATTTGTTGTTTTTCCATCTATGTTGTCTCCCTCACGATTTTCTTAAACAACGCAAAGTTGTGTTTCAACTTCTTTCGTGTCTTGTTTCAGGTATCATACCGGAAGTCTGGCGTTCGGCTCCCTCATCCTCTCCATAGTTCAGATCATTAGGGTTCTGCTGGAGTATCTGGACCACAAGCTGAAAGGTTTGTTACTTTAGTGGATCACAATATTATGTCTGTATAACATATGGACCACAATCAAGTTATAACCTTTGATCAAGCTGACGTGCAGTGCACATAGGTGTGGTTTACTCTTATCTGAACAAATAGTAGCGATAAAGATGTCAGTGATGGAAAAGAACATTAGTTCGATGGCACAGTATTTCCCTCTGTTCAATCACTGAAGTGCAAATATAGGTGAGGTGAGGCATAAATTTGTTTTATATCTTATTTATTTCTAATGCATATTTGGGGATTAGGATTATCTAGAAAACCTGTCTCCACTGTTTGTTAAATGTTCTCGTATCTGTGGATCATTGACTCATTCACAGGAGCCCAAAATAAGTTTGCAAAGTTCCTGTTGTGCTGTCTGAAGTGCTGCTTCTGGTGTCTGGAGAAATTCATCAAGTTCCTAAACAGAAATGCGTACATCATGGTGAGTGGTTCATTAATTTATTCCACTGAGCTCAGCCCTGGCATCATTAAAATTGAGGCAGATGTATTGTTTATGTCTGAGTATTTGATTGTAATGAGTGCATTTGGCCTCTAGGTGGCGATTTATGGCAAAAACTTCTGCACCTCAGCCAGAGATGCCTTCTTCCTCCTCATGAGGAACATGATCAGGTGTGTGCAAATATTGTGTAATTTTGCACAAAAACAATTTAAGTGATTTTTTGTGTATATAAAAGAAGTACATTTTTTTTGCAAATGACTGTTTAAATGATTGTTTTTAATCTCCAGGGTGGCCGTCTTGGATAAAGTGACAGATTTCCTCTTGTTTTTGGGCAAACTGCTCATCGTTGGGCTTGTGGGTGAGTCGCTTTATTTCATCCTTATTCTTCGTACTTTCAGAAAATGTGTGTGATTTCTGTGCATATTGAAGCAAATTGGCACGAGTTTTTGGGTGATATTATAATGCAAACTCATTGATTTTAATATATTGAGTCAGTGATGCAATAGGAGAGAATTATTAATATTAACACATTACAGTATTTACCTCATTATCTTTAGAGACCAGCATTATGAACTTATTCAAAGTCAGTGTGCAACAACCTGTTCTGACATTATTGTGCCATATAACTTATGAACAGTTGAACCGTGTGCACAGGGGAGCTTTTTAATGCAGTTTGTTTCTCGTGTCATAAATATGATGGCACCAAATACGTAATAATATATTACATAATCTAAACTGTACATGTACATTATATTGAGATTGCATACAGTTGATCAGGATGTTGTAGTGACTGTTTAGAGTTAGGATTAAATTTTCACTGTAAACAGGTGCTGTTTTTTTCTTTTTCTAAATACAACAGTACTGAATGGGGATCCATAGACGTTATTGAAATATGTAACCATTATTCACAATTTGAGTTTTCTTTGGTCTTGCTTCCACAGGCGTCTTTGCCTTCTTCTTCTTCTCTGGGAGAGTGAAGGCCTTTGAGGACACGGCTCCCAATCTCCACTACTACTGGGTGCCCATCCTGGTGAGTCTTTTTTTTTGAGTGAAATATACACATATTTACACACACATTTATTTATATATATATATATATATATATATATATACATACATACATACATCTGCTTTACATGCATCTGGTTCCTGTCCTCAACAGACTGTGGTAGTTGGCTCGTACCTCATCGCTCATGGATTCTTCAGTGTGTACGCCATGTGCGTGGACACATTGTTCCTCTGTTTCTGTAAGTAGCACCTCCTCATCTTTTTTGACAATCGTATAATATTTAAAGATTGCCTACATGAGTGTCGGATGGACTTAACACATAAGAAACGAGCACTGTAATCATTGAAGAAAGATGAATCATTCACGGCTCGATGTCAAATGTGAAGCTTAATAATCAGCTGAGACAAAACTTTTCTCACTTCACGAGTTCTTACTTTGCTTCTGGTGTTGGGCTGTCACTAATTCTAAATTGCATGAAGATGGTGTGCCAAAATTTCACCACCATTTCATAATAACAGTCTGTGGCTTACAGTATGTTAACCTGAAAATTGCTGCTTGGTGTTAAACTGTAACTTTTAAAATCTGAAATTCCTATGGGTGACTTTGCTTGCTTGCTATTTGACCCTCTTTCTCTTTTTTTGTCTCTATCTTCCTTTTCTCACTTCTCACAATTCACCACCTCCCCTTCCTCTTCCTGCTGGCCCTTTCTATACTAATTTTCTGTTCCACCCATTAACACATATACAAATACACACGCACACACGCACACACATACACACATACATACATACACAAAAAGGTGAAGACCTGGAGCGCAATGACGGTTCAGCCGCAAGGCCTTATTACATGTCGTCAACTCTTCATGAGATTCTGTGGAAGAACATGGCTGAGGATCCGACTCCGTCCTCTGCTCAGCAACAAGACAATGAAGACCTCCAGTTGAGAGAACAGCAGGCTAAAGAGGAAGACGCATCTTAGAGAGGAGGAGTTTTGTAGGAAAGACACTCAAGATTTTTCACTGAATTACAGGCACTTAACTGCTATGGTTCAAGACTGTCTTAAAACGTGATAGTAAGGAGCTGGTACTTTGTCGTCGCCCATTGGGAAACCCTCTCTTGCACATAACCCACTCGTCTCAGAGAGGCAGATTGTGGTGCAACTGTAGATCACAATGCCTTAAAGTGGCAGGGGTTCAGTGTTTTGCTTCACTACACTTAGTGGATCCAACCCTCTGACTGAATGAAAGTTTCCTTCATTCACAGCTGACTGGTGTATAACGTTTCCTTTAACCTAACTGCCCTCCAACACAAGGAAACATGGGAAATAAGATGTTATTGAATTGTTTTCTTAATTGACCATTCACTAAGTTCTTCCTCCAGTGTCCAATCACAGCTTAGCAACTGTAACTAGACACTGCAGGCCTGTCACACTTGTTGACGTGGTGTGTGGCTGTAGTAGTAGTTAAAATGTACATTTTAAAGAATTTGGACTTTGCTGTCTTTTATGTGAGATTTCCGAATTTAAAAACATTAGTTGTTAAAAGTTTAAGGAATTGACGAAACAGTGTGTTTATCTGCTCTAACAGGATGCAATCATTAGCATGTCCAGCTGTCTAGCTTACCTACCTACCTTAATTTCAAGGCCATTTTCTGGACTTACAAAACTGTGTGGAAACTGAGCCTGGATGCTATCAGAGTTTAGGCTAACTTTAGCAGCTCTGTCATGCTCTTTATTAGATTTAGGAAAGTTTACACTCTAGCATCACATTTATTATCAGAGGTAGCGTTGTATTTGTCAAACAAATTGGTTTGTCCTCATTCTATAAGCCTTTTAATGCTAAAATTAAAAATACTGTTTTAATTCAAGCTTGTATCTTAAAGCATAAATATACCTGTGTATAGTAAAATATGTTAGCTGCAAACGGGGATATGTTATAATAGAATAAGTGTGTATTTAAAATTCCTTTACAGGATTTTCATTTGAAAATAAGTCAGGTGGAAATATGAAAAATTCAAGGCGCTAACGTTAGCTTAATCATTTAGCTAGCTCCGGCTGATAAACTCGTCCTGCAGGCTAGAAATGAGAAGTTGCTTTTGTCTAACTATCTGAAGTGCAGGACCTTTCAAAACTGACCACAAATCTTTACAGATGAATCTTCTCCCTCCTTTAACATCGTTAGCTGCTAATGTGCTGTGCTAGAATGGAAAGTCTGTAGCAACAGTGAGGAGGCCCGGGGGCTTAGTGGATGGTCAGTTGAACATTAACCATTTTTCTTGGAATGAGTGCTTTTAAAATGTGCACAGGAATATTACACAAACATAATTTGATGCATGATTAATATGAAAATGTTGTTCTCCTGTTGGAGGTGATAAGATTTTAATTGGTTAAGAAACTTTGTCTTGTTGACAGCCAGGTATTTCTTCATCTTTTAATAACATAGGGTTGGGAATGACTGTAGCTGGTTTGTGATAGTCTTCAATATGATGGAAAAATTGCTTCACTAAATATCTTGATTATTTAAATGGCTTTATATGAGGTAACCTGACATTTCTAAACTTGTTTTTTTGCATTTTCGTTGTTCCTCCCACTGCCACTGGCCAGTTGAAACTTGAAGCCGTTCATGTGCCTCATTTACAGTGTTAATATTGGTCTGTTTGCACCTTAGGGTACCTAATTGTTTACAGTTTATGCAATCAGAACCACGTGATCATCAGTACTACTCCTTTACTATGCTGTACTATTGATGCACTTTAATTTCTGTTCACACAAAGCCATAACAGATTTGTATCTGTATGAATGAATACTGGTGATTTTCTTGAAGCTAGTTGTTTTGTAGTTTCTTATGTTGACGTTTTTACTGTAAAGCAGTGCAGGTTTGCATTCAGTACCTTTTTACAAAGGATTGTGTTCTTGGCAGTGCAGCTGCTTAAATAAACTGTATTTGAAACAAGTTTTCACTGTGTAAAACAGGATTTTAAGTCTTTAAATGGATGCATGTTGTTGGCAATTGAACCATTTATTAAAGCCTTTCTTTTCTACAGAACTGGAAACGAGCCAAATTAATTTTGTCCTTCAGATTTACTGGTGTATTGAATATTAATTGTGAAGCTTGATCCTCATTTAAAAGCACCTGACTCTGTTTAGGATGTAGAATGTCTCTGTTGTACATAAAAATAAAAACTGTGCTCGAGTTTAAAATAAAAACAATGACTCTAATGATTTGTATTTAATCTCGTTCCAGTGGAGGATCTTGAGAGGAACGATGGCAGTGCAGAGAGGCCATACCTGATGCCTGAGAGCCTCCGCAAAATCCTGAATAAGAAGAACAAGAACCAGCCGGCTGAGTAGAGCACGTCCTCTCACAGTGAGAGCCTTAGTGAGGCGAGACTGTGGCTGAAAACTGACTGTGGTATGAGTCAGAGGGAACTGGTCTGGACCAGAGCCTAATGCCATCAGTCACCAGGAGCCTACAGGTGACAATCAGTAGTGTCATACATTGTATTTTTTTCTTCCAAAAACTTCAGTCCAACGTGTCGTTCCATCAGGGTCTAAAAAGGGAGTTCACATTCCCACATATTTCCGTTTCTTATGAGTGAGACATTTTTGATCTCTGTAGATTTTAGGTTTTTTTGTTTTTTTTCCAAAAACATTTTAATTATGTTGTAAATTATTTTTAATCAAGTAAGCAGCCTACTTTCAGCATGTTTTTATTTTTAATATTTGAGTGTTATATGAAGGTACACATAAAACTAAGGATAATCTATTAAAGTTGTTGTAATCTTATGTAATATTTGAATAAATAATTAACCATATTGTTACCAAAGCCATTACACTGCCAGTCAGGCATATTGTAGTCAAGACCTTTTCTATTTTCATAGACTCTTACATAAAGTATCCGATGCTGTGGTGCAACTTTTATCAGCAACACTATGGAGAGATATAAATGAGAACAAAAGCAAAGCTTATATTGTTTTTGATGTTTAGGCTTATACTCGTGTCATGTTTGTGGAACTGAATTTGAGATTGTTTTTGAAATAAAACATAGTTTTTTATTTTTTATTTGTGAGACCGTTTCTCTTTTAACCCATTGGTTATTTCCTCGCGCTTGGAGCTGTTCCCTGTTGAGCGTCGATGTTACTCTGTGCACCATGAGATTGCACAAATATGCAAAGTCATCCGGATCCTCTTCTGCTTCCGCATGTGACTGGTTAATCCATGGTGGCACTGATGTGCATGATTATACTTCATCATTATCTCTGATAAGGTCTCTGAACATTGAAATCTCTTAAGCCCAGGTCTGCAGGTATTTGGTGGAAGGAATTCATCCTGTAATGCTGACATTGCTTGAACATGTGCAGTACTTGTTCTTGTTCAGAGGTAAAGCACCTCGCTGAAAACCAGTACAATACCGTTATATATTTGCATGTTGAACTTGTTGACTCTAGCTATTTAATGTGGCCGATAGATTTCCAGTGAGAAATTAGAGATAGTTTCAGTAATGACGAAAACCCAGACAAGACCAAGTTAGCTATTCACAGGCAGTGAGAAATGACCCAAACAGGGTCAGTGGGCAGTTTGGGTTAAAAGGCCCACCTTCAACTGACAGTTGGCATGAAATTAATAGTTGATTTATAGTGTCTAACTCTACTCTTTGTTATCAGTTAGTAGTTATTATGATGTGTTATTTTTTTAGCCACACATAACTTTATTTTATTCATTTCAATGTGTATGTTTTGCTGTTAATTTAATGGCTGGAGCAGGGTATCGTTACTCACACAAATGCCCCATTCTGGGATTACACAGCACTGTCTGTTGGTTTATAGTAAATATTGAATTGCTCTAACTGTTGTATTAAGGTTTTATACTCTGATTCTTTAAAGCATGAAAGACAACAACTGTGTGCCTTCATCAGATTACATGTTCCGACTCGTGATACATTCAAAACCAAAATGCTGTTTTCATGAGTTACAAATATTCTAGATCTGCAGGAATTTTCTAGTTTTCTACCTGCTGTTCTGCTTTTGACCATGAGGGGGAGCCAGTGCAGCAGGAGAGGCTCTTATCTCTGCTGTGTCAGTAACGCCAGCTCACCTGACAGGAAAGTTTTGTCATGCTAAGATTCTAATCTGCTTTCTAAAAAGCATATCAGCACCTCAACCACACACAGTACATCACCTGTGATGGTTCATGGACACTACTGTCACTTTGACTCTGTGCCAACAACTGAGTCAGCTGTACTGTCCGGTAGTCTGTGCTAAAACCTTGACTGTAGTGAGTTTCATGAAGGCGTTTCAATGGCAAGGTTGCCATTCAGAAACATATAAAGAAATACACTATGTGTAAAATGTCTTTTGTTTTTCCAAAACGAAAATATGATATATGTAGATATATTGTATTTCCATATATGAAATAAAATTAAAGCACATCATAAAGATTCTATATGGAACCTATTAGAAATTGGAATATTTTCATATATTAACATATCCGTTTAGCCCATACAAATACGTAGCTACGTTTATCTTATCTTCATTCACTGCAGACAGTTTTTAACCTTCCCACAATAAACTCCATCAACACAATAGCTTCATTAGCATCATTACTGTTCCCAGGGAATATGATTTCATTTAATTATGTTTGAAGTCAAACAGTGAGCGAGGAGTGGAACAACAAAAGATGCTGTTTTCTTTGCAGTTTTTGCGTCAGAGGTCCTGAGTGGTTAACGAGGCTTGTCCCATGAGGGGTTTCTTTCACTCCAGTCTCCATGGACAACACCTGAATAAGCCTGAGTGGGTGAGTCATCAGCTGGAGTGGTGGCGTTCTGGAGAGTGACTTGTATGCACTTGATATGTGTCACTGTGGACCTGGCAACCCCTAAAAAATAAAAAAAAAATGGCAAACAGCCTTTTGGTACTACTTCAGTATGTTTCCATTTGAAGCATTTTTGTGTTAGATAAAAGGTTGTAAGACGGTAATTGAGGCTTGAGTCATGATCCACCACATCTGGAGAAGTTTGGAGAAATCCAAACTCAACCCACTACATCTGCCTGCGTATGTTTTAGCTTTTATAACAGTAATTATAGAGGTCAGAAATTGTTCTTTTCTAAGGATGTGTATGTTATTTTGGTCCAGTTTCTTGTGCTATATGTGGGACACAAGCGAACAAACAGCAGGATATGTTATTCTGGGCTCAGGTGAATGATCACTGAGGCTATGTTGTAATACTTGCACCTGGATACTGATCTGTGACCAACGGTGTTTTCATAAAAGTCGATATGGTGAACATCAGTTTGCTTCTCTACACATCCAGCAGACAAGCAGCAACATTAGCATTTATTTAAAGCTGTGTTTCTGGTCAGCTGGAGAACCCATACAGAAATGTAATATATGACACATATGTCCCTATATCAAGAGTGACGTTGCTGTATATGTCTCCTATATTACACAAAATATACATATATTAAAAGAATGTATGTGACGTTTTTTTTATATAGGTTTAACATGTTGCAACCATATATGTGAATGATATATATAGGTTATATAATTCATATATGCAAATTCACTAAAACAAGATACATATTAAAAAATGTTTTTATTTTATTAAATTCTCATTAATTTTAAACATGTTTATCTTCACATTCTGGGAAACTGTTCTCAGACTTTTGGTCCCTACTGTATATAACATCAACATATACTGACAGACTTTGGGATGGATATATATTTATGTAACACGTCTTCAATATAAACATACATAAACATAGCTACATATTTGTATGGGTTAGACACATATATCAATATATGAAATTATTCCAATTTCTAATAGGTTCCATATAGAATTTTTACATATATGCTTTTATTTTATATGCACATGTATGTTCATTTCAATATATCTACATATATTTGCGTCTCCTTTAAGCTCTGTTGTTGTTGAGCTCTCCTGAGACTCATAATATCCGACTGTTTAGAGCGAATCCAAATGTGCTGAAGCGGTGAATTTACTGTCAATGACACACTTTAATGTTTATGCTTTGCCATAAAGGCCGGCCCCAGTCATGAGGCTCATGAATGCTGAGAGGTTTAAAAGGTATTTGTCTCTTGTGCTGCGTTGATAAAGAACCGTCTGTCTGCATTCCTCACCACTGCTGTTGTGCGTCAGCTTTTCTCTGAAGTCTTTGAATTCCTGAATCCAGAAAGCAAATGCTCGAATTCCAAGAACTGTGTGAGATTCTGGCAGCAGGGACTCATTGTTCATGGCCAATATATATAATATTGTGCAACACAAGTACATTACACTATATTGTGGTTAGAACTGGAGCTGCCAGAGTAATAGACGCTTCTCTGTGGCCCAATCCCTGCAAGCGTCGAGACATGAGATTGTAATCCGTGACAGGCAGAAAGCATGAAAATATTCAGTGGCCTGCTGCTGGAGAGTCTTACATAATTTAAAGAGCTCTCAAAAGACGGCATGCAGAGGTGGGACTGAGTGTGTCCAACAGGAACAGACGGTACTCATTCAGCATGTAGTGTGTGTGTGTATTCGTCATCAGTTCAGTCCACTACTTTGGTCCAAACTGACAATTCTCGACGACTATACCATTGATGCCATAAATTTTGCCATAGACATTTGTGTTCCCATCAGAATGAAATGTGAGCCCTTAAAGTTTTCCACCACATGTCAGAATTTGTCCAATTTATGACCAAATACCTATAAAACTACTAATATTCCCATCAGCCTCAGCTGTTCTTTGTGTTTAATGCTAATTAGTAAATGTTAACATGATAGCACGCTGATCTGAGAGGGTGAACATGTTCAACATTAGACCTGCTAAACATCAACATCAACGTTAGCATGTTGATATTAGCATGCTGATGTTAGCATGTTGATGTTAGCATGCTGATGTTAGCATGTTGATATTAGCATGTTGACGTTAGCATGTTGATGTTAGCATGCTGACGTTAGCATGTTGATATTAGCATGCTGACGTTAGCATGTTGATGTTAGCATGCTGATGTTAGCATGTTGATGTTAGCATGCTGAGGTTAGCATGTTTAATATTAGCATGTTGATGTTAGCATGTTGATGTTAGCATGCTGATGTTAGCATGTTGATATTAGCATGTTGATGTTAGCATGTTTAATATTGGCATGTTGATGTTAGCATGTTGATGTTAGCATGTTGATGTTAGCATGTTTAATATTAGCATGCTGAGGTTAGCATGTTGATATTAGCATGCTGAGGTTAGCATGTTTAATATTGGCATGATGATGTTAGCATGTTGATGTTAGCATGTTGATGTTAGCATGCTGATATTAGCATGTTGATATTAGCATGCTGAGGTTAGCATGTTGATGTTAGCATGTTGATGTTAGCATGCTGATGTTAGCATGTTGATGTTAGCATGTTGATGTTAGCATGTTTATGTTAGCATGTTGATGTTAGCATGTTGATGTTAGCATGCTGATGTTAGCATGTTGATATTAGCATGTTGATGTTAGCATGTTTAATATTGGCATGTTGATGTTAGCATGTTGATGTTAGCATGTTTAATATTAGCATGCTGAGGTTAGCATGTTGATATTAGCATGCTGAGGTTAGCATGTTTAATATTGGCATGATGATGTTAGCATGTTGATGTTAGCATGCTGATATTAGCATGTTGATATTAGCATGCTGAGGTTAGCATGTTTAATATTAGCATGCTGATGTTAGCATGTTGATGTTAGCATGCTGATGTTAGCATGTTTAATATTAGCATGCTGAGGTTAGCATGCTGAGGTTAGCATGTTGATATTAGCATGCTGAGGTTAGCATGTTTAATATTAGCATGTTGATGTTAGCATGTTGATGTTAGCATGCTGAGGTTAGCATGTTTAATATTAGCATGTTGATGTTAGCATGTTGATGTTAGCATGCTGATGTTAGCATGTTGATGTTAGCATGCTGATGTGAGCATGTTGATGTTAGCATGCTGAGGTTAGCATGTTTAATATTAGCATGTTGATGTTAGCATGTTGATGTTAGCATGCTGATGTTAGCATGTTGATGTTAGCATGTTGATATTAGCATGTTGATGTTAGCATGTTGATGTTAGCATGTTGATGTTAGCATGTTGATGTTAGCATGCTGACGTTAGTATTTTGCTCAAAGCAAAGTACAGAGCTGTTAGCTTGGCTGTAGTCTCTTGGTCATATGAGGCCAAAGTTGCTCCTGAACTCAACTGAAGCACGTTCAACCTTTCATATTTTCACTTGTTTTGAATGTGAGGATAGCGATTTCTGCAATATTTTACTGGGAGGGAAATTTCATATTCATAAAGCGAAAATTTCTCAAATCAATTCCCTCATTTAAGTTGGTTCTAATTGATCTTGAACGTTAATTTGAGTCTCTCAAATTGATGACAAACAAGAGGTCCATGTCAGCAGTTAATATATTTTCTGAAATGTTTGTCCGAAGAAGTCTGTCTTATCCTTTTTTAATGTATGTATTTGTTTTTTTTTTGTTTTTTTTCAAATTGTTTTAGAAATTATGTCATCTTTTTGATCTGTTTCTTTTATTAAAGAACTGATTTGTCGATTGATTTAAATAAAAAATATTCAACCTCTCAGGAAGACACTGAACTGACATCTTCTTAAAAACTAGAATCAGAACGAGCAACACGTGCTCAAACCTTCACAAAAGGCCCTTCAACTGAACTTATACAATATATTAAAAGAGATGACATGTTAATAGCAGGTGTGGGTGGGGCTCATACTGTTTGGTGTCACATTTGAGTTTACGGGCCAGGGTAAAATATGATAACATCACTATCAACAATGAGAGGCACTCTGGGGAAGAGCCACACCTAAAGGCGTCAGAGGTTTCAAAGCAGTGGTGGAACTGTTCTGGATGGAAAATGGAAAATAAACCTGTGCCAAGATTTTAGATGAAGAGGAAACATAAACGTATTTCAGTGCCATTGTGATGACAAAAGATTAAAATATGACCCTCATGGTGTATGATGCATGAATATGTAATACTTCTAACCTGAGGTCCAAACATTTGGTGTTATCTACGTATCTGTGTCTTGACTAAATAAGAGCGTGTAATGTTTTTGCTGTCCGTTACCTTTGGAGCGGAAGGGGAGGACTATACATCAGCTGTGAGGATGACGCAGAGCGAAATGTCACAGCCAGGAAAGGACAGCAATCTTTCATAGAAGAGCTAAGCATGTTTTAACATTCTTGGAAAAGCCGGATCCAGGTAGGTCAGATTGTGAAGTTGTTGCCTGAAACATAAACACACACAGACTCAGTCACACACAGACAACCTGGGTCAGGGTCTTATTAAAGTGTGACTTTCATCTAAGCAAAAACTACAAGTCATTATACAGCCGTATAGTCAAATGACAGAAAGACAGAAGGACAGAAGTTAATATACAGCAGAAGAATAAAAGTGCTCTTCCTCAGTATTTAATGTCATTAAAAGCCATAAAAATAATCAGTTCCTACTTAATTTAAACCAGATGGAGCATTGTGGCTTTTGTGGTGTATCTCTTCCTCACTTACCTTTGTTGTTATGTTATGCTAAGGACAAAAACTTTTCTCTGATGTTATTCAGAAATATGCAAAATATATTTTCGGACACTCCAAATATATTATAAATGTATTATATATTATGAAATAATGCCGTTATGATCTACAAGGCTAAAACACATTAAGAAGTATCTCCATAAAAGGCTTGTTTTTAATTTACAATAACTTTTACCACAATACAAATACAGTATCAGTAATGACATTAATTATGCAACTTATGTTCCTCTGAAAACCATGAGTAAGAGATAGAAATCTGCAATTCCCATGGTCTCACTCATGAGCCGCTGCCATCCTATCAGTGTAAAAGATCAGAATAGGGGACGGCCATGTGATCCTGATGACAAATAATTATTTGCTTGTGTTTTTGTATTCTAAGAAACCCCCATAAACGACCCGAGGGACAGCAGGTGAAACAGCTTTAATTAAGCAGACATGTTCTCCAAGAAAGGTGCATAAACCATAAACCTCCAATACAAGTGAAAGTTGTTCAGTCAGATTTTTACTTGAGTTAAAGTACTGGAGTATTTGATTTTTACAAATATTTTAGTGCAAAAACATTACATACATTTATGCATTTTGGTCAACACATTGTTGTATTGTTCAACAGTGTATTTACAAAATATAATGACTCTGAAACAACCTGCTGAAGCACTGACTGACTGTCAAACCTGCAGAAGAAAAAGCTTGTAGAACATGATACAAACCCTGTAGAAATGACCATAAAAACACAATTGAATCAACAAAAGGAGCCATTGTTGTTTTCATATTTCTGTCTTTTTTAGGCAGTAATAAAGTTTGGTCACAGCAAACATTTAAAACTTTCTCAAACTTCAAGCATCATTGGTATCGTTGGCCACTGCCAGGTTCAAACTGAATTGTTCAAAAATGCCAATGCAGCAAACACATGACTGACAGTGGAGGATTTGGCTGTGATTGTTTTTTCCCCTGTGATAAACACACAAAATAAAATAAAATAAATTCTGCAGACTATTTTACTTTATAGAAAATGTAGTGGAGATTAAAGTACAATATTTGTCTTTTAAGTGTAGTGGAGTGAGTTTTATAAGTTTCCAAAAGAAGTAAAACTCAAGTAAAGTAAAAATAATTGAAAAATATACTCAATTACAGTACTCAAAGAGATGTAATAACTTTATTTATTCATGATAATAACTTTTCTTAATAAAGAAAGTGCTTTACAAGACAAGTAAAACTACATAAAAGAAAATTCAAAGTGAACATCACAGAAAGTGCAGCTTAATAAAGCCATCTCAAATCAACATTAAGGCAAAAAGATGCAACAGCAATTAAAAATGTAAAACCAATGAGGGATAAAACAATATGAATAGAAAAAGAAATGAAGGAATGTACTGTTACTGTCCACCCCTGCAAATACTAGTTTATTTCTCAAAAGAGTGAACTACTCGTTTACCATGGAAGACAAAGCTTTGTACTGGACAAGACAAAGTACCCCCCCACCCACCCCCACCACCACCACCCACCACCACCACCACCACCCACCACCACCACCCACCCCACACCGACAGACACACCCCCTCTCACTCCTCCTACAGCCAACACTTCCAGCAGAAAGTCGCCTCCCACTATAAAGCTCAGGGAGTTTCAGCCGGGCTGAGCGCTGTCAGGGAGGAAACCCAGCGGCGGGTATCGGTGGATTCAAGTCGCTTCTCTCCACACACACACACACACGCACGCACGCACGCACGCACACACACACACACACACACACACACACACACACACATACAGAGGAAAACAGGCTGCAACAGCTCAGGTCTTGTCCGTGCTCGCTCTCACACAGACCGTCACATGGGAACAATCCAACACTTTTGTATGAGGGCGTGAAATGTAGCGAGAACTCTGCAGTGAAAATCGTCTTTGTAATTGTAATACAGGCGCGTGAATGTAGTTCCTAAGAAGATAATTAAAAAAGAAAAAAATAAGGTTTTTATTCTACCAAGATGCAGCCTTAGACTCTCTGCTTCTCAAAGTGGAAAGATGAAGTTCGGTTCAACAATTCCTGTCAAGATGGAAAACAGCACTCCTTAGCCGAGCAGACGAGATGGGAAAATGGGAGTTAACAATGGTAAGTCTAAGTCATGATCCAAGATCAATAACTCAGCTGAGCAGTAGATCTGGGTTTGTTGTGTAATTTATTTCCACCGACACAAACGGTAGTCTCTGTAATGTAACACAAATGCGAGTAAATTGTGCTTTTATTGTGAAGATATCCCTGCTCTGCTGGCTCCTGCAGTTTACTCTGTGTGTGTGTGTGTGTGTGTGTGTGTGTGTGTGTGTTGTGTGTGTGTATATATATATATATATATATATATATATAAACCGTGTAAACTAAAAGTCTACCCCACAGCAAATCTGTTGTTGCCCATGGGAATCTGCAGTCCACAGGCTGTTTGTACTGAAGCTGCAGGGAGTCTGGCACCAGTTTGTATTCCGATTACATTCAAGTCACACAGCTGAGCATCATACAGTAGCCTCTCTAAAATAATCACCAGACAGGCTATTAAAAACTCAGAGGGGTCAGTGTCCTCTGGAAAAAGCATTAAGTCTTTTTGTAAAGCTCATGCTAAATATTGACTTTGGTTCCAGATGTTCATGTTATTTCTGGCTGTTTGGATTAAGAAGAAGAAGCACCGCCTGAGAAAGGGGTTAAAGATCTTTTATTATTATTATTATTATTATTATTATTATTATTATTATTGTGCAAGTGACAGAAAGGTTAGAAAAGGTTAAAAAGAAAAACACCTCCTGGATTCTTCAGAACTTTTTCAGAGTTTTTAAATAACTTTCTAGGTTTTTCAAAGATAAATCAGTATTTATTTTGCTCAGCTCTGTGACTCCAATGCAATGTTAATACAGGATGTTGCAAAAGGTCAAGACCAAGACTGTGTTTACTTCCCTCCGTTGATGAGTTATCTTGCTGCTCCATGATCATATTTAATGTGGTAGAGACCTGCTACACCTGTGGCTAGCAGGTCCTCCAACAACAACAACAACAACATAGTTTTTTTTATTTTGATTTTTACATCAGTTGTGCTCAGTCCCACCACGACATCACTGACACAGAGTAGGACACAAGGCACAGTTTCCCGTCTGTGTAGCAACCAAACGATTCTAGTTTCTGCCTGGTGGGGGGGACAATAGGGTTTGTGTGATACTGGTTAACACTGTCTTTTTAGATAAAGACATTTAAATAATCATTTGCATAAGATGATGCAAGTCCTCTCATGTAGATAATTGATTTTCAACTACTGTTGTGAGCACGCGCAGTTTCTTTCATCCCCTCTGCAGTATGTAGCCGCTTGCTGCACGTCCACACTGTCCAGCCATGATTTAGACGCTTCAAAAATAGTTATATTTAAGGTTCAAGAGCATGTGTAGTTTTGTTGTATGCACATTATTATCTGTGCTTAATAGAGCTTAGAGGAAGATATTGAATATCTACTTGCTTTGACTCCAGGGAAGTTGTCTAGATTTGAAAAAAACATTTGCATATAAACCAGATGGATTAGACATTAGTCATGCAAGAGCTGTTACTGACGCCCAGGTTATGTAACACATAAAGCAATTAAAAGGGCACTCGACTGATTTTGCACATGAAGTGTAGTTTACTTGTCTTGAGTTTTACTCAGCGTGTGAAAGCAGATGTATAATGTCCTCTGTTGCTCTTAAGGAGCTTTGTCAAGTCTGACAGTGATGTCATTGTGATGTTAGCGGGGTGATTGCAGCTGGGGCTTGGAGAATTAAAAAAGTGGGACCTTTCTCCTACTAGGAACAAAAAGTCAGGATATTTTCACCCCAGTTTCTTTGATTATTTTAAAGTGTTTCGCAAAAGATTCCTAACTTTGTGGAAGTAAAACATACCAAAACAATGGAGAGCTCCTTTATTGGAGGGTAAAGAAAATGGCTGCCCTCAGGTTTACTGTACGCTATTGAAAATACAGACCGGCCTTTTTAAATTGTGCGACACAGCTGCTGTCTCATTATGCTACTATAACGATCTTGTTCTCAAACAGCAAAGATCGAACAAGGTGCTCAGTATTCACATTGGATAAACCCCGTTCCTCTGTGTACATTGCACAGAGTGCTGTTGAGCGTTCTGGAGGAGCTGTTGCTAAAACGCTGATTGAAAGCTCTCACCGAGATCAAACGAGGGCTTGTCTGAATATCTAATGGAACCCGTGTGTTTTTAAATCAGGACACTTGGCGCTGAGCTAGCCCATGATCCTCCGAGGCTCTCTCCATTGGTTACTGGAGGATGAGTGATGGTGAAGGAAACATCTGACATTTAGCATTTGTTCTGGTATTTTGCTTTGATACACTAACCTTTTGATAATCCTCTATTTGTCCATAAACATTCTTGTGTACGTCCAGAATTCATGGAAGTTTCAGCAGCTTACGGTGTCGTGGGGAAATTGTGAAAATGAAAACCAAGCACAGGTTACAAAAACCAGCATGTCACGTGGATGAATCTCTGATAATTACTATCATTACACGCTAACATGTTTGTGCAGTCATTGAAGGTTTGAAACGACGGTTATGAGTACAAGCAAATGTTATGTAGTTGCTGTGGTTCATATGGGATGAGTGTGCATCTCGGTGGTGTTGTGTCACTTGTTTGTGTGTGGGGTCACCAGGCGGTTTGGCCATGGAGTCTTGCAGCTATTTTTACCTCCTCGTGGCTCAACCTCTGACCCTAATGTTGTGAGCAGTAACACTACTAGATATATATTTGTGTTTCTGACCCGTATCTGTATATTTTTGAAACACAAGCAGGGGCGTTGGATGGAAGCTGTTCTCAGTGTGAATGCTGATATAAAACTTAAATATAATTTTCCACTTCTGTCTCTCACCAGAACCCAGTGCAGGAATGGGGTGAGGAGTTCGAGGATGGCGCAGTTTACGGGGTCACACTGCGTCGGGAGCCCGTCCCCTCAGCCCCAAACCCCAATGGGACAAATCCATGCTGCGCTTTTGTCCAGTACCGGACCTGCAAGGTGCGGCGTCTGAAGGCCGCTACCCTGGACCTGCTAGTGAATCATCTCCTGGACCCCGGCTGCCAGGACCAGGATTACAGCAAGATCTTCCTCTCCACATACAGAACCTTTACCAGCTCCTCAAAGCTCATAGAGCTGCTCTTTCAGAGGTAATCTTTGTGCCACTGTATGTCTGGTTTTGTCTGTTTCTTGTTCTGTTTTTTATTTCTGGAAAATACACTTATTTACTTCCTTTTGAGGGTTAGATGAGAAGATTAATACCAAATATGAAGCTACAGCCAGCAGCCAGTTAGCTTAGCTTAGCATAATGACTGGAAACAGGTGGAAACAGCTAGCTTGGCTCTGTTAACTAGCAAAATCTGCCAGCTAGCACCTCTAAAAAATCTCACTTATTAATGCCTTATATATCATTTATTTATCTGTGTAAAAGTGTAAAATTCTGTTAGCTGTAACCAGTGTTTCCAGTCTTTGTGCCAAGTTAAGCTAACAAGGCTGCTGGATGTAGCCATGTCAAACTGACATGTGGTGTTACTTTTGGTTTCGTGGTTTTATTACTGCGCCGGGCCAAGAAATAGTCTGGCACGTAACTGTGCTTGAATCTGGGAATGTTGTTCGTGCAGAGTCACCATGTTGTGTAAGGGTGTTCTTTTTTTTTATACATGTTTCTGTGACAAAGCAACTCTCCCCTCAGCTTTGATGTAATAATAAGTACCTAGCAGGTGCTCATTATCTTGAGGCCAACAACAACAACAATTGTGCACAGAGCGGTTTTAGGCTGTGGCTGGCACAACTTGAGGTCAGGGTAAAGATAGCTACAGAGGAGGGACAAATAATAATTAAAAAGTGCACTGTGACTTCTTTTTTTTTTATTCTTCTTTTGCATGTTTTTGACCTTGTTTTGATTCTTATAGAGACAGTGCTGCCTCAGATCTGGACAACAGTGAAAGCTACAGGAGGTAGGTGGATGAATCTTCCCTTGATCAACTTCATTTAAAACACCATTTTTTTTTTAAAACTTGAACCCTTATATGCTTTAAAGTGTTGTTCAACTAGTTAAAATGTAATGACTCTTCCACTGCCTCCCCAGCCCTCTGTTGGCCTTTGTCCAGACATGGTTGGATGAGTACAGCGAGGACTTCAGGGATCCTCCCGTGCACCTGGCACTCAGGCTGTTGTTGGATCACCTGAGGATCAGCTCTGCGGTGCATGACAATATGCGCAGCCAACCCAACTTCTGCTCGTTGGCTGGGCAAGCTGAGGCGCTGCTCAAGCGGTTGCAGAAAGAAGGTGATCCTCCCAGACATATCATGATAAAAAAGTGATAAGGCCTTTGTTCACACGCCATTCCATCGTCATAGCATTCAACATTGTGAAAATCCTCCTGCCGTGCTCACACTCTTTTTCTGGATTCCTGCTCTGTGTGTTTGTCCAGACGCCGCCCCGACAGGTCTGGAACAAGAGGAGGGATCTGGTGATGAAGATTCAGGGTGTGAAAACTCAGTGGATCGAGTTGGTATCATGGATTTCTCTGCTTCAGCCGTCGCCGAACAGCTCACCCGAATGGATTCTGTACGTGAGAGGATATTGTATGTCCCACGTTTACACACGTCACTTGTTTTAGATTGATTATTAAAGGCTGATAATTGGTTTTCATGGCGTTTCAGGCTCTATTTGTCAAAGTGGTGCCTTACCAGTGTCTGGGCTGTGTGTGGTCTCAAAGAGACAAGAAGGAAAACATGTCTCCCACCATCCGGGCCACAATTGCGCAGTTCAACGCCATCACCAACCAGGTCATCATGTCCCTGCTCTGCCAGCCTACAGACCCCACCTCCAGTCCCACTTCCTCCTGCCGGCCTCCCACTACTCCAGTGCAAAGGGCCCGTATCATAGAGAAGTGGATCAGAGTAGCACAGGTCAGTAAAAAAGCCAGAGTGACTAAATATCAGCTGGCATTCAGGTTTCAAGTCCAAGACTTCATAAGAACCTCATTTACACAGCCTTTGTTTTAGGAGAACAATCGTCAACACAAAACATTTGAAATTAATTTGAAATTAAGTGAATCCTGAACGCCGACTCTTTCTTCTCCAGGAGTGTCGTCAGTTGAAGAACTTCTCCTCTCTCAGGGCGATCCTGTCGGCCCTTCAGTCTAATGCAGTTTACAGGCTGAGAAAGACCTGGGCTGCTGTTAGCAGGTAAGGTTGGACTTTAGCCATTTCTAAGGTCAATGATTTTGTCTGTCTCTATGGTTGCGTTTATATTGTGTTTTACATAATTGTTCTTTAATGAGGGCATTGAACCTTTATCCAGTGCAATTCAATGTCTTTGATAGAGCAAGTCAGCAAATGTCTTGCTTTTGTGTGACCTATATTCTGTGTCAGGTCGTGAACATTGTAGTAAGCTATTATAATGTCAAGGACAGGTGAAGCATAACTTCATGTTTGTCCTCTTTTATGGTTTAAACATCTGGTCATCGACCAAGAAGTGAAATGTAAAATTTTAACACCAGTTATTGTGAATTATAGTTGATTATTAATGTATCATATATTGGATTAAATAGCTGCATATTTACTAACTCTGGTGTCTGTTCTTTTTGCAGAGACAGCATGGCCACATTCAATAACCTCTGTGAAACCTTCCCTGATGAGAACTGTGTTCTAACCAACAGAGAGCTCCTGGTCGAGGTGAGAACAAAACTGCTGGTTGCACAAAAAAACAGCCTACATTTACTTCATTGTTTACAGTGTTAACCCTGAGATGCACAGGTCATGAACCTACACTCTTATGTAAGAGAGTCGAGAACCAGCTGTATGAGAAACAGTGTTTTGTTTTTTTGGTGATACTAAATATATGCTATCTTCATAATTTAGCTCTAAATACTAATTTGTATTCCACACCAGCATAGTTAAACATTTGTGACATTTTTATCATGAAACTGTCAAACTTGCAAATGTTAGTCTGTCTAAGTTCTGCTACTAAGCTAGCTAAGCTAAGTTACAGCAATAGTCCATTCACAACTGCAGTAACATTAGCTAGCTAGCTAAAGTTTGTTAGTAATTTGATTTCTTTTTATAGCAGAACATAATTATAGAGTTTCTCTGTAACTTATGCTACTTAGCTACTAAGCTAACTTAGCTAATAAACTACATAGTTATGAGTACAGTTCAAACACAACTAAAGTAATGTTAGCTAGCAAGCTAATGTTTGTTAACTATAAAGTAAAGTACTTTAATTCTTATAGCAAAATATAATCGTAGAGTCTCTCTGTAACTTACGCTACTTAGCTACTAAGCTACTTGGTTATGGGAACAGTTCATACACAACTACAGCAACGTAAGCTAGCAAGTTAATGTTAGCAGCTATAAACAGCTGTCAGTTTAGTAATATAAAGTAGTAGTAAAGTATAAAGTATAAATAATACTTACATAATGTCAATCGTAAAATTCTTAAGTGGTGATGCCAGTCATAGTTAAGATAAATATTTGAATACTGTGTATAACTGACAAAAGTGACTGATAGGAGGAAAGATTCCTATAAAAAAAGGCCTGATTGACGCATCTACTGTATATATAAGGGTTAATGTTTACCAATGCAAGCAAGTCAACCTGCTGCATCTGCTACATACTTTCAGTCCCAGCAACATCAAAAACCTTTCAGTGATGTGAAGGCTAATTAAATCATTAATACAACCAGTATCTGGGTTTTAGTGTGGGACTATTTCACCAGAGGTTAAATATTTTGTTTTGTAAAGAGAACGGGGGAATGAACTACAGAGAACATAGTACAAAGAATGTCACTGAAAACATGTTTGGAAATGGTTTTCTTCCTGTACATGGATTTTCTCTTGTAATTATTAAAAAGATTCATTTTTCAGTTAATATTTACAATGTGTTAATGGGAAACCAGGTGCCTCAAGCACATTTTGTTCCCTTTTTTTTTTTTCTTTTATGTAGTCTCCTTTAGGCAACTGCGTCAGAGGCGTCTTGTGTCTAGTTACAGTGAAAGGACTCTAAAGTCAATAGATTACCAGTATTTCCTCTACATAACAACTGAGCAACAGAATTTGCTGCTTCACAAAAAAGTTCAAAGAGATTCTTCACTATGAAATCATTTTAATTGTGTTGTTCTCCTCCTTTTCACTTTCCATTGTAGCTGTATTCAGGCACTGCCTTTTATGAAGGAAACTGATCTATGTAAACACAATCAGTCATACACTTAAGCCTATTTGCTGTTTCCAATAACAGATAGCACATAACCCTAACCCACAAAGACTTAAGAGGCTTGGAGAACTCTTCAACAGGATGTCCAAGTTAATGTGTAATAAAACCTATTCATGTATTGAAAACTTTGCTTTATAAGCCACTTCACATGCTTCATTAGAAGACATCTTGAACGTGCTTGTGTGAATTCATATAATGGACTGTCTAAAAGATTTAAGATAAAATCTTGCAGATTATTTTTAATAATGGGTCAATGTATGTGTGTATAACCTTCAACTGAATATAGCTCTGTCTGACCCTCTTCGACAGGACGGGGGCCAAGCGACTGAGGATAACATTTCTCCAAAGATATCCAAGCGGTGTCCAGTCCCCAGACAGATGGTAAGCCAAACCTCCAGATGAAGAAAGAGCTGAGATGTTTTGAAGACAGGACATGAAGCCCAATGCCATATATCGCTGAGGTCTAGTTCAACCGAATTGCTAAGCAGCAAATCTTCTTTTCCTGCAGCAGTAAATGTGCTGTTTTACACTGATAATGTTTCAAAATGTTATCCCTTTGTCATGTGCTATTGTCTTGGGGTCATTTTACCCGAAGCTGGGTTAATTTCAGCTTTTCAAATAGACACATGCAAAATCCCTCTCATATTATCCAACTCTAAAAGCCACAGGAGAGCCAATTTCCCACAGTGTGGGTGGAGTATCTCTGGCATGGCAGAGACCCAGACCTATCTTTAGCCTTGCTTGGTGCTGAACAAGTTTCAAATGGCCTCAGATCACCAGGATTATAGGATAGTAATAATAGACTTAACTGGGGTCTTTTATAAGTCATATGCACATTCTCCAGGGCTGTAACATGAACCCAGGGCGCTGCTAACTGGGACGTGCCCTGTGTCAATGTCGTCCAATCTCAACCCATTCAATACAGATCAAAAATGAAAAAAAAAAGAAAAAGCTAATGACTGGATTTGAAAGGCACAACTGAACAGATACAGTGACAGTGGAAAGACCTGCTGTAAGCCTAATGGAAGGTGTGCTTACATGCTGTTTCTTTGCAGAGTACCTCCAGTGGAGTGGTTCCTTACCTGGGTACCTATCTGACCGTCCTCACCATGCTGGACACTGCTCTGCCAGACACTTTGGAGGTGTGTAATGTAGCTTGAGTAACAGCTGCTCTGTATAATATTTGACTTTCAGTGGTGAAGTATATATTGTGCAGTAAAATATCTCATAATGTTACATTGCAATACATAGTAGTGGGTAGCGGGGGTTGTGATTCTGAAACTGAGACTGAAACTGCCATATAAACATCCATCTTGCGGGATCGCGATACGTGATACTCTGCAGTTTTTTACTGTGTTTTCAATTTGCTAAATCTGTGATGTTAGAATAAAGTGTCACTGTTGTGTTTGTGTTCAGTTCTTGATCCAATCAATCATTGATAAATTCAATAAATAAATAGTGTTTGATCTTTTCTTCTGACAGGGAGGGCTGATAAACCTTGAGAAGAGGAGGAGGGTAAGTGGTTCCTCTTTGTGTCATCTTTTATGTATTTCCCTTTTTATTTATTGTTTTTTTTTTTCACTGTAGTCAAAAACAAAGTACAAAGGTGTTCACATAAAATCATGTCAGCATCACATGCTTGTGTGTTTGGGTGTGTACAGTGTATTTGCACTGTGAGAGTAAACAGAGCAGGTTGGACATTTTCTGACACTTGTTTTTTAGTGAATATCATGCTGAAAGCTAGAGATCTTTGGTTACGCTTTTTAAACCTTTACATATATCTTTAAGGAACACCTCACTGCAGCTTTTTAACTGTTCAATGTATCGTACCGTATCACCTCCAGGCAGGTTATGCAGCAGGAAGCAGGACACCTCGCAGCCTCTGTCACTCTGTTTATCGACCGACATTTCTCTCTCCCTGCAGGAGTTTGAGGTTCTGTCACAGATCCGTGTGCTGCAGGCGTCCTGTTCGCAGTACAACCTGCCCCATCACCCCAGAATCGCTGCCTGGCTGCAGGGATACAAGCTGCTCAATGACCAGGAGAGGTGAGATGCAAAATGTGTTTCATTTCCTCAGTAGAGGAAAGCCTGATAAAAGCCCAACAAATATTTGGTAGTTACATAATCTACATAGTATGAATGTCATGCTCAGCTGTTATATGGCATCTGGCCAGTTAATCAGTTCTTGTTATCAGCTGAAGCATGGGAGTAATGCTGTCACAGCTGGAGTGTTGTCATCAAGAAATCACTAGTTTGACATTTATAATGCAAACATTCACGTGACTAAACTGTGGTTGTGATGCAGCTCATGGTCCAAGCAGGTCACGGCATCTTTGCTGTATGTTTTAAACCCCAGACGCTGGGTAGTATGGAGCCCCGAAGGGTCCAATTTTAACTTTATGGCATGAATAATCAAATTATCATCATCATCATCACCAGTTAGCTCTTGGAAGCCAGACAAACAACAACTTCAGAGTTATTCTGAATCAACCTACTGTAATCTATTTAATATTAAACTCTTTGGGGCTCCATAGTGAAGATTTCTGTTGCATAAAATATGCATCAAAAAAGTATGCAAAAATATGCACAAAATTGATGCAATAAATTGGAATTCACTGAAGAAAAAAAATGAGTAGCTAGCATGACCACTGTTAGCTAGCTGATGCTAACATGGCAGTTGCTGTTGTATAATAAAATGAAATGTGCACATTATCTTGTCAGGTTCGTCTCGAGTGTCACTTTCTGATCGTCAATGTTCATGTTTGATGTGTTTGCAGCTACGAGCTGTCGAGACAGCTGGAGCCTCCGGTAGACCTCTGTTCACCAACCCTCTGGAGCCACCGCACGCTCACAAAGAAACTCTCCAGGTGAGTATCGCGCTCTGGTCTGATTTGAATATTCAAACACACACACACCACACCACTCACATTTTACTTTCCACATGGACCTGCACATAACACTTAAACAATGAAGTAACAATTGGTACAGACAGTATTTGCTGACTCATTTTTATGCCACAACAGGAAAAGGAATGAAATGTTTAAAGTATATTTTGATGCATGCAGTGCTGATCCGCTGTAAAAGGAAAATAAATCCTACAATATTCTATATTTATAATAACTTTATTATCATAGAATGAGTTTTTGTCTTTGGTACAAATCTCAAGTTAAATCTCTGCCCTCAGTCTCCTGGCAGTGAGCGATGGATCAAAGAAACTCCCTGCTGATCAGATCAGCGTTTCATCTTCTGGATCCAGTGGATCTGAGATGGAGGATCTCTCCTCCCCAAACTCGGCCTGCTCCATCAGACTGCAGGTATACAGCTGTTTGTGTGTGTGTGTGTGTGTGTGTTTCTGTATGTATCTGCCTCATTGTCTCATAACCTTGTTTTCTGTCCATCCTTTGTCCTTTATGGCACGAACAGTGGTGTCTTTTGTTGACAGCTTTGTCATGCTCTGCCTTCATCTAAAGGGTCTCTGTGTTCAGAACAACATCCACTATTTACACTTCACAAACAATCGTCCCGTTTTAAGTGTTCAAACAAACCCTTAAGCATCTCTAATGAGGAGTAAATGGCTTTTAAAACTGGGAATCTTACATAAGCCCCCTTCACAAAAGATCTTCTTTAAAGGGTTGTAGAAACTAGCGTGAGCCCTCAACAAGGAGAATTTCAATTGAGCAGGTCCCTGGTTGAACTGGAGTAGGGTTGTTTAATGGTGCTCAGTTCTCACTGTGGCTCAATAGCTTAGTTGTTCCCTGTCGAACAACCAATTTCTAAATCACTACAAATGCAATGACTATTGTTTTCTCCCAGTGGCACTCATCAGTACTCTTTCTCTTGTCTCTTTCTCCCTCTCTTCTTCTCTGCAGTCCTTTCACAGCTCATGCAACAATGTGTCCGAGGCCTTCTCTTCCTCCTTGCCCTCCTCTTCCTCACCCTCTCCCTGCTCCTCCTCGGCTTCCTCTCCGGACTCCCCCACTCCCTCCAGCTCGCCAGCCTCGTCATGCAGCGGTGCTCGGCCGAAGCCTGCCCCGGTCTCTCACCACAAGCGCTCCGTGTCCATGACCTCCCTGCCCGTGTATAACCGTCAGGTGGCGGACTCCTGTATAGTCAGGGTGAGCGTGGACCTGACCCAGAACAATGGCAACATGTACAAAAGCATCATGGTGAGATTATCCTCCAGAAAATATTTTAAATCTGATTGTATATAAAAATGCAAGGTATGGTTTATACTTGTAAACAAATATTTTTTCAGTGTAGCATTCCTACTTTTATTTAAAGACGTCTCCAGAAATGTTTGAAGACATACTATGTTTGGAATAATAATTTGTCTCTGATGTTTTTTCTACAAAAAAGTTCAATTAGCTCAGTAAAAAATATTAAAATGACTTTAAAATTGTTGAAAAATCCAGAACATATGAATATGCAAAAATTTTCCATCTTAAAAATCTTAAATCGTGGACAAAAGAAATCTCCCACTTCACTGAAAAGTCAGTGCATGTGCAAATTTCCTCATCACAATCCTGTAACTTTAATATTGGCTTTTAACCTAGTTGTGACATGCACAGTGAAACTTTCCCCCTTCAACAGATGAATATGAAAACAAACTCTGCACATACTTCATTCTGCACAGTGAAGGTAAAACATCAATAGGCAGAATCCATTTCTAAGTGGAGGCAGACTTTAATATAATAAACACTTCTTCCACTACTCTGCTCTATTTGCATGAGCAGCACCTTAGTAAAGCACAATGTTGTAACTGATTTTCTCAAGCAAAAACTTCCTTGTCTATTTTATAGTTAACCAGCCAGGACAAAACTGCTCAGGTGATTCAGCGGGCGCTGGAAAAGCATCACCTTGAGCACATGGACTGGCAGGAGTTCACCCTGACGCAGGTCATCTCTCAGGAAAGAGGTCAGAACAGAAGGACTTGAAATGAATCCTTGAAATAGAGCAGAAAAAAAAGAAAACGCCTCTCATGACACTTACTCCTGTTTTTTTTTTTGTTTTGTTTTTTTTTCTGTTTTCAGAGCTGCTCATACCAGACAAAGCAAACGTCTTCTATGCTATGTCCACAACGGCCAACTTTGACTTTGTTTTGCGGCAATTCCCCAAAGGCCAGAAGAAACCACTGAGGGCCACATCCAGCCTGGGACGATACTCAAAGTAGCACTTCCACTCTACAGATTCTCCACCTGGAAGAGCTCATGGGACGTTCCTGGAAAGTGTTCCTTATTTTCTTTTTTAATAGTTGTTTATAGGACAGGTATCCTCTCTCAATGTGACTTTTTTTTTAACGTTGATGATGATGTAGAAGCACTTTATGAAGAAGAATGCAGCAGAAACTGATGAAGCTTTAAAAAACACCCGGACCGGATATGCCTTTATATTTCTGTTGGAATAAACTGGGTATGAATCCTACTATTAAACCAAAAAAAGGAAGATAAAAAAAAAAAAAAAAAACCCATTCCTTGACTTTTTCCCTCAGGTGTGTTGGTAAAACATTTTCTCTCTGACTCTGCTGCTATATGTCTCTCCCAGTAACTGTATGGGTGTGAAGATGCACACGCTCCCACCAGAGAGCAACACGTGCCACCATCAGCGACCTATTTATACATGTACATTGAGAAATGACCGGCCGTGTCCCAACACAGCTGGGCGCCATTAATAATCTGTGTGTCAGAAAGGGAATGTGGGTCAGATGCTGTGTGAAGGGTGCCGGTAATGAACCCCTGGCCCCCCCCACCCCCCCACCCCCCTGCAGTAGGTTGTCTGCCACTTGAGATGAGAGAGTCCGATGTCCTTATCTGTCGCCGTGCCTGTGCCATCTGAGGAACGGGCGGGGACGTTCTCACCAGGGATCACTGTGTTCCCTGCGACGTGGTGATACTCATCATGTGTGGCCGGCAGCCCCGACTGGAAAGATGGCATTCCTGAACTGGCGTAACCATGGCAGCAGAGACTTTGATGGATGGGGATGTAAATGGCGAATGGCTACTGTATCTAGATTAGACAACAATAAGGGTGAACTGTTGTTTGTGATTTTTGTGTTTGTGCTATGACTAAGTAGCTTTGACTTTTAGAGTTTTAGATTTTGCAATGTTTTGTATTTATTTCACTTTTGTTCCACTGTGGTTCACTTTGAATGCACCTTTATTTGGTTAATGACACATTGTGATGACTCACTAGCAGGCTCTAACTTGTCTTCTGACTGGCGGGAAAATACTTACTTACTTTATTTTGCAACATGTTTGATTAGTGTGCTTATAATTTTAGAGATGTCTTATTTTCCGATGAATCCTGATAATATCTAAAGTGATAATGTTTTATATTTTACTTAATTGTATTTAACAAGTTGGTTCAGACTTGTGAAGCCTGGATGTAACTGGTGCTTAAATGGCTTGACCTAAAGCCTAATGAGGAGTTTAGATCTGATCATTTCACTGACATCAATTGACGCAAACGCTGTAACGAGATAGTTGACACTGATCATGTTTTCTTACAGTTAAAACTCCAGGGAGTATTTGCAAAGTGGAATAGTTATACAATGAACAGACATGAAAAGTTTTATCGCTCAACTTCCCTGGGAGCATCTGGGAGTCGAGAGCCTTGCTCATGGGCGTACGTAGCTGCCGAGGAAAGAAACGGGCTTCTCGTTGAATTCCTCAATCCACATTCTCCCTGTAAACAGCAAACACTCTCCCAAAAGCTTACTTCTACCGGCAACTGTGCAATATCCCTCTCTTGGCAACTGAAACTTGAATTGATAGTATTTCTTGGCTTATAAAAAAAACTTCATATTGTTCAATCTTTTTTAATGAAGATAATATCACAGTTGTAAAAGAAAAAGGAATAAATTGTTTCAAAAAAAAAAAATCCAAGGTTTGAAATGCATTTACACCCTGTATTGATGACTTTCTAATAAACAAATTTTCCTATTTCCCATGGCCTTCATCATCCTTTTTTGATTTTTATTTTTTACAGTTGATCTAATGACTTGGTTTGAGGCTTATTTTATTAAAGACAAGTTTTAAAAATGTCTGCTTTGAATTTAAATAGGCTATTAATATGAAAATATGAACCAATCTTCTCTACCTCTACTATATCACAAGTTGAAAATATAATCAAACTACCATAGCCTACATTTTGTCTTAAATAAAGTGGCTTAATATAATCCACAAAAACTAGCAAATGCATTTAAAAAGATGAATACCAGTTTCTTTCAAACATAACACATATATCAGATGAGTCTGTGAATTTCATGAGAATGAGGATTAAAAGGATATATTATGGAAAAAGTGAACTGTTTAACCATGTTCCAATATAAACCTTTCCCCAGGCCATATGATAAAAAAAAAGATTTATGTGTGATCTACTGAGTGTTGAATCTATTTTGAGAGTGAATGGTCTCTTTTGTATCTGGTAAACAGACTTCACAAGGATAATATAGATATGAACTTTCTTTTCCCACCACTTAAGTTTTTTACTTTAATAACTGAGCAATTCCATTTCTTTTTTTTATTTGGCAAGTCAACAGATAACATTTTGAGCCAGGGGTCAACAAGTAAACAATTAAAAAACAAGGCATACATATTAAATTAAATTAAAAGACAGAGAGAGAGAGAGAGAGAGAAAAAAAAGGAAGAGGAAATTACTTTGGAACCGGAAAAGGACGTCATTCAATCTCTGTCATGGGTCATTTCAAATTTAAAAACAATAATTAAAAACAAATTTCAAAGTTCAGTTTTGTAAAATTAACATGTTTGGCAAGAAAAAAATTGGATTTGTTAATATAAAAAAATAAAAAATAAAACAAAAATAAAAAAGGAGAGATTTTTTTAAAGGCTTTGTCTCATATTCCCGCCTTACGTGACGTCACTGACCCCTACCGGCGCTGCTGCGTGGTACAAACTTACTGCTCGCGGTTTTTCTTTAACGGTTACAAACATACAAAAGTGCAACAAAGCCTGTATTATTTTGGCATGTTGAATTTCCCCCCATAGAATAAATGTGGGTGCAAGTTGTTCTCCTGACCAGTAACGACCACGTCCTCGAGCCAAACACGGAAGTGAAGACTACAAACCACAGGTAAGACAAAGGTGAATCTACCCACGAAGTCCACTCAACTAGCTAACAATAAAGAAAGTCACAATGGCAGAAACAGTTCACCTAATGTTCACAAAACCCACCACAATAATGATAATAAAGAAAAGTCGATTAAATTTCGTCACTAGATAGCGCCACAGAGCTGCGTGCTCGGCTCCTGGTGGAGCTTAATATCAGCAAACTGTACAGACACCGAGACGCCACTCGGGTGCACTCGGGTGTCAGCGGTAACTGGGTCTGAACTTACTTGTTTTTCTCCACCTCTTCACTCCATCCAACCTGAATGTGAATGGAGGTGATCTTATAGAAAACATAATATCGTCCCCATTCACCTGATCAGGGGAGAAGAGCAGTAGTGGATTTCTGTCAGGACAGACCTAAAAAAAGAGTCTGTCCTGTATTGAGTGCTGCTCGCCCATCTACCCCACTCAATGCACTTGGCTGCAGTAGACGCTCACTCAGCAGAGGGATAGGGGTTTGGATTCATTAGATGAGGCATTGCCTGATGATGTGTGTGTGTGTGTAGGCGTGCTGTAGGAGATGCATAGGTCAGCAGTTCTGAAGGAGAAACAGGACACTGCCTCTCATCTTATACTTTCTCATGTATTATGTATACTTATGATGTCCGGCCGTGAGCTTGTGTGTGTGTGTGTGTGTGCGTGTGTTAGGTGTGTGTGTGTGTGTGTGTGTGTGTGTGTGAGCTGCATGTCGCCACTGAAGTACAGATTGTATCAATGCTGCCCCTTAGTCCTGCAAGATCCAAAATGCTATTTATCTGTGTTGCTGCCGGTGCTCTGCAGGCCAGAGGAGACATTCAAGGTCTTATGTGGATTTGTCCAGGAAATCAGTGTAGCAGGTCTCTAATGAGGATTGATGAGACATGGAGTTTAGTTGTCAATAAAATCGATAGTTTTCACCTCTGTTGACCCAAGAGTGTTTGAGGAAGTTGGTGACGTTTCAGTTCATGGCTGCTTGCCATCTTTAAGTCATGTGTGCAAGTTGTGGTGAAGCCAGACGTCATTTGCACACAGTCTCAGGCCTGTTGAGATAGAGTTTTCCTCCCAAGTATAATAATAAGACCTTCATTTGGCCATGAAATGTTGACATCAGTTTGTCTCGTCTTGATATAAAGGATCAGTGTGGTCCCTTAAGCTTTAACACTCAGCCGTTACATCCATCTCTTGCACAAAGCATGACGACATCAGATCCTGTGTATTGGGTAAGAAGTCAGTGTTGCATATCTGAATAAAACAAAGCCGTGTGAGGATGCTTTACTTGTAATGTTAGTGGCTTTTCTTTGAGAGCTCACGCACCTCAGTTTTTACTTACATCAGGATGAATTCCAGTGTGTAAAAGCAGAAGAATGTCCTTATCTTTTTAAAAACATCCCTGTTGTTTTGGTTGTTTCATAACCGCAGTAATTGGGGGCACATGTGAGAGTGTGGAACCAATGAAAATGTTTGGCAACGCTTTGCTCTGATCTCTGCTGACGACAGACAGCTGCCCCCTGCCTCACCTGAATGACTCTCCCCCCGTGGAGGAGAAAGGCATTCAGCTGTTTTTACAGCTTCCAGAGGAAAAGAGGCATGTGCCGACAGCTTGTGTGTGTGTGTGTGTGTGAGATATTGCATGCATGTTAAGTTCAGAGAGTTACTGCCATGTTTTCACCATCTACATAGATACGTGTGTTACGTGTGTGCCAGTGACTGTAAAAGCTGTGACAAAGCCAGCTTGAAGCCCTGTTTGCGTGTGCCAGCTCTGCACTCTTGTTAAACTAACCTTGTTCCCCATTCGCAGAAGAGGAAGTTGGGGTTGTGGGGTGGGGGGGTGGGGGGGGGGTCCAAGTGCTGACCAAGTGCACACACACAGAAAAAAATTCACACACACACCTTATATATAAACATTGACTCACTGTGAGTGACAGTCGTGCCTGTTTGCACTAATGCACCCCGAGATATTCTTGGCAGGGTGCAGTTTGGTTTTGCCATATGTGCACACGCTCATGCATATGCATGAAGGGCTAAATATGACTCCCAAGTTTAATGCAGACGTTTATGCGATTGCATGCACATTTAAACTCACATACAGATGTTTTACGCCCACACGAGTTATTCATGGCTCTCCACCCTCACCTCTGAAATGAGTGTAGGATCTGTTGATAAGCATCGTTAACCCTTTACTTGCTGTGGCTCGAGCTGCCACAAGGAAACACATACACACAGTGGAGTCACACGTGTGGAGCTGGCACAGTTATATTGCTCTATTTTGAGAAGGTTTTAATCACATGATTTATGAAACTCTGACGTGGTTCTGGCACTGCTTTTGTGACTCCTTTGAATGCTTATCTTCACCCATGTAAAACACGATCATCTCAGCCGCCAGCAATTGAATTTCTGTATTGATGGGAAATTTTTATAAAGCTGTGAAACCTCTCTATCAAGCCCCAGTTTTGTGTGTGGAAATTAACATACTAGCTACTTCTCATGATGTAGATGATGTAGATGTTCTGGCGGAGGCTGAACGGGATCTTCAGAGTCGGGTCAGTGTTGTACATTGACAGTGTAGTAAATGGCGGCTGAAGGTAGAACAAGACTAGGTCAAAACCTAGTATGTGGCTGGACCGCCTATGGTCAAACTGTGATTTTATAACTGTGACGTCATCTGACACAATAACCAAACATATAAAGGAAGCTCTGATTTCAGCTGTATTTATTTGTTCAGAGAGAACCTTAGAAGACTTTCGAGTAATTTTGCCTTTAATTTCAGCCATAGTGAGAGAGACAGAGAGAGAGAGAGAGAGAGAGAATGACACGCAGCAAAGGGCCACAGACCGGATTCGAACCCGGGGGCAAGGGCACTCCGCTGACCAGTGACCAGTGGTGGCCCTGCTGTTGTGATCCAGCCAAATGAAACATGAAAAAAAGGGAATATCCAAGTAAGTTTGTGTTTCATATTTTCATATTGGTTTTCTTGTTATGTCATATTCTGAGAACTATTGAGGTTTTTTATCTCGGATGATCATGTTACTATTAAAAGAGGAATAAGAGTCCCGTCTGACTTAGACACAACAGTTTTTAAACCTTGTGTCCAATTTTGGATTATGCCACAGGGATCTGCTGCTGTGCCTTGTGATGCCAGTTGCTTTTAAGTCTCTGCTTTATGAAAATTATGAAGAATAGTGGTCAGAAGAAAGATTAAGCAAACCAAAACTGAGAACACGTTTTGTTATGATGGCACACTTACCATCATGAACTACATGTCACCCTTCACCTGACCAGAGCTCAGATGTCTGTTTGTGCTCAGTTAAGATCTGGCATCCTGTCTTTTGCTGTGGGAAATGGATGTTTCCATTCAGTCCAATGAAAATGAAGCGAATGAAAGGAAAATTTTATATTTTACTGCCTCTTTTATCAGTTTTTCTTGAAAATGTCGGCTGTACGTCCCATCCGATTTGAACTAGTCAGTGGAGATTACAGTAAATGTTTACATCTATATATGATTACAGATCAATTTTTGTGAAATGCTTGCAATTAACCAGGGCTGAACAATTAATTGAAATATTATCGAAATTGCAATATGGGTAAGTGCAATAGCCAAATTTCAGGAACTGCAATTTTTGGTAAACCATTATAAAGCATTGCTACAGAGATGCCCCGGCTTTCCAAATCATACTCTCCAGGTGTTGGGGAACAATTTTTGTCTGATACAAGACACAACAAAACATTTTTATATTCTTTTCCAGTGAAAATTAAATGCAAAAATGACCATTCCCACTAA